TGCAACCCCAACCCCAGGCTCTGCTTTAATTGGCTGGATGTGCCATGACTGCTTGCTCGATTGCTCTCATGCGCACTGCGTGCAGGCCCGAGTTGCAGCGTCGGCATATGCACGCAGACACATCACCCGGCGCCACGACATGAAAAATTCCATGCACTGCTCCACCTTTCTCGTTGGGTTGTGGCAAGTTTTGCAGATGCCGCTGCGACGCCATTGCGTCGCTGCTTGTACCCTGTTGCCGCAGTAAGTCTAAGCGCACACGTCGGTTGGTGGGGCCGCATTTTTGTCGCACGACAGGCATGCGCACGCGGGAGCGCAATGCGCGGCCGTGTCTGTGGAGGACCCCGGCACACCGACCACGCTGCTGCTTTTGCAGAGGTTCTCTCGCTGTCTTGTTGGCTCTTCTCTAGTAGGGTGCCCTTCTTGCTACAGGTGGGCGGGGTGCGGTAATTCCATCCCCAGTTGTTGGCGTTGTGGTCCCAGTGCGATGGATCTACTCCATCCCAGTCCCCTTCAAAAACGTCAGTGACCCACTTACCACGTTGCTCCTGTTTGCTTGTTGTGCTCTTGTTGTTGAGAAAGTTCCGACACTCATTACCATCGCTGCCCTGGCAATACTTATGGCACTGACGTTGAACACCGCGCCGCCAGTCTTCACCCTCTTCCTTCGGTCCACGTCTGGCGCGGGTCGATCTTGCTCGTATCGTCGCTCATTTTTCCTCGACTGTGGGACGTGGCGCGCTTTTCTTTTTCGAGAATGTGCCGCACTCTGTTGATACGTTCTAGCTTAAAACATCCAAGCTCTTCCTTGTTACTACTAGAGCTGGAAAGCATCGCCGTGCCCTGCTTATTCTATGACTAGCGGCCGCCCCCGTGTATTTCTTGCGGGATGTGCTGACGCATTCGCGGCCTCTTAAATGGTTTGGCGAGTCATGGGACTACGGTCGATTGTTCCCATGTTGCTCATGTTGCTTGCTATGTGCTTCCTTCCCGCTTGGGCACAACAAGTAAGAAACGCGACGGGCCTGGGCCCATGCGGATGCGCTCACGTTGATTCCCATCCGGTTGAACTTCTTCCCTAACAGAGTAGCACGGCCCTCGCACTTCTTGCACCCTCCGCTATCTCCACGAGCTCCGGGCCCGTTTGTTGCGTCCAGCTTGTTCCGTGTGGCATGATCGCTAGCGCGTGCCTTCAATCATGTCGCATACTTCGCTCTTGCGTTCGCGAACTGATAGCCCACCGCTGGTTCCTGTGCGACCCTTCTTCTTGGTGAACGTCGAAGCTGTTGACGAGGACGACGAAGCCGAGTTATGAGCGCTGTTGTTGTCTGATTGGGCGCACTGCTGCGCCAGCAAAAAAAGTCTTGAGTTGGTAAGTCGCCCCCGAGCATGTTTTGCCCTATGCCGATCCGCAAGACCCACACGCGCAACGTGTGGGCGGCTCCTTGTTGAAATGTAAACTCATGCAAAACAGTTCGGATTCGACACAGAATGCCTCACCTGCTGAGGATTGTGCTCCAGTCTACCTATGAAGTCGGTGAGCGTTGTTGTAAGTTTGCGTTCTACTTTAGCCCAGAGATGTGTCCACGGAAAGAGCTGGACGAAGTGCCTGCGAGACTCTTCACGCACAAGCGTGGCCCTGTCTGTGCGAAGACTGTGCACTTGGGCAATTTCCCAGACATTTAATTACTTTTACCAAGTTCGCGAGCTCGTTGCCGCGCTTCGTTCCGTGCGGAATCGTGGAAGCCAACGCGTGCAAGAGCTGCGCGCGATGTGGTGCTGTGTATGGTTTCCATTGATGGCCTGCTGGCCTTTGTGAGTTGTGTAGTCTATCGCTGTGACATTGTTAGCACCTTCTTCAGCTGATTGCTTGGCGTCGAAATCATGAAGCAAAGCTGTGAGCGCTCGCAGCACCTCGCTGAGCTCTCCCTACGGTATGAAGTGTAAGATGATGGATATGGCGCCTGCGAAGGACGGGGGCCGTGCCGCTAAAATGAGAAGGGTGCGCAGCAGATGCGTGCTGACGAAAGTGCCGACGTTCTGGCCAAAAGAAACGCAACCGGGAAACCTGCTGACCACCTCGAAAAGCTCGCGCCTCGGTCACCTTCTCGCTTCTTTGGCGCGTTGTAAGCTAAAGCTCTCCAGTCTTGTTTATGAAGCTCAGCAGCCTCGGCGATGCGCTGTAATGTTTTTAGTGTTCAATTTGTTATATGTTTAGGCGATCCTGTGACGTGTGGGCGTTGGTGTCTTACTCTTTGCGAAGGAGTCTGCTTGGCTTGGTATAATAACTCCAGCAGTGATTTGCTGCCTCCGTTCCTTCTTCCGAGAACCCGACCGAAGCTAGTTTATGACGCGCTGCTTCTGTGTCGCAAGTGCGATAGCAAGCGTTGGCTTCTGTATTGAAGACCACCAGACCCGACCTCGGAGACCACACAACCGCGGCAGACCAGGTGGGGCTCGGCCCCTTCTCCAAGCTTGGTTGACTTGTCGGCGGTCTCCGTGCTCCTCGTGACTGTTGAGATGCAGGGGGAATGATCCATCTGCACCCTGGCCGGCGTGTGCTTCTTTTTGAGTGTAGTGCTGCTGTTGTTGTTGATGTGCTTGGCGCTACAGGTTAGCCCCGCTGGCAGTTTTTTGACGGTCTTGCGTTTGTGCGACTTTCTAAACGTGGTGCCCAGCCAACCAGAACCGCCCACCCGTCTCACTTTGTCCGCTGGCAGTGTGAAGGCTTCACAGTCAGAAGCGAAGCCACCCGGTACCTTCCAAGTGCAAGTGGCCTCATAGTAGAAATTACCACCGTCCTCATGCTCGTTATATCTTTGCACAAGAGTGCACGACGGACGCCCGCAGTCAAGAGCTGCGATTTTGGTGGCGATGAACATCGTGTCGGTTACTGGGGGGGCCTCAGCCCCGCATGCAAATTCTGGCACTAGTTACGAAGGTGCTGAGATTCAGAGTGAAAAGTCGCAGACTACGAGAACACTCCCAGCCGTCTTTTTCGCCTTGCAATAATTGTAGCTCACCGCAGGAGCTAAGGCCGATTCTGGGCAAGCCTGCGCTGTCGTTGGTGTGTTCGATGACATGAGCGAAGTTGTCGGACTGTGTCGGTTGAGCATGGATATTTTTAATTATTCCCGCTACTTCGTAGCGCCTTGACTTGTTCGGGAAGGACATTGCTTCACCCTTGCCTTCGTAGGTGATCAGTGTCGAGCTCGTTGCTGCCCGTTGAAGCCTGTGTAGAACTACCGCGCACTGTGGAGGGTCGTCGAGGATCGACGCTCTGCTTCTTTTGAGTGAAGTCACATTGTCAATTCGCTCGCGAACAAAGTTGCGCCCTAGATCGTTGGCGTAGGTTTGATTTTTATTGTGTGTCTGTGAGGAAGGTACTACTCGTGGCGCAAGTTGATCTTTTGCCTAGCCTTGCCCATCTTTCGCATGGCTCTTGGTTACTTTGTTTGTTTGGGGTGTTCCAACATAGGACACCCTGCTGATTGCCGATTTGCAATTCTTTTGGACTGACGTCTTTGCTTTTCACCATTTGCTTTGCTGATAGACGAAATTGCTTGTAGCTTGTGGAGTGGAAGCCTGTGGAAAGGAGAATGTGGCTTCGCCCGCGTGGAGGATGCGCGGCCCCCGTTGCATGTGGTAAGGTGTTCTCGTATGGCCTCACTCGCTCAAACTTGCCTAAGCGAAAAGCTACGCTTTCCTCGAAAGCCATAACTCGATCCTCTTGCAATTTTTTGCAAAACAGCGAACGGGTCGACACAGGGGACGCCGTAGTCTGCTTGAACCATGTGCGCACTAGGAGCGCGCCATCATTTCGCCCGCCGTCGTTCCGATCACGTTCCGTCACGGCAATGACCTGATAGACACACGGTGTGCGGCTGGGGCGTCTGATGAAGTTGCTCACCGTCGCCAACACCCCCAGGGCCGTCGCCGCAATAGATTCTAGAAGAGATGTGTCTCGCGTTTCCAGTGGAGTTGGTTCGCCTTCCGGTGGCCGTGGCGCTGGTGGTGATGGAGGTCGAGGCGGAGGTGACACGGGTGATGATGGAGCCTGAAACTGCAACTCGTCTTCTTTTGGAGCGCAGTCGCAGTACATGTGAGCAGCCTTCTCTGCTGATTTTGTTATTGTTCGGGACGGCGCAGAGATTTGGACTTGCGTCGTTTCCAAGTAAGTAAGCTGCTGCCTTCCTTTCTTTGCTAGGTTCGCGCATCTCGCGTCCAGATCCCCCACTCTTTCTGCCAACTCATTGCTCCTGAAAAAGTCATCGATATGCAGCTGCAACAAAGACGAGAACTGTGGCGCATCTGGCTCCCGGTGTAGCCGTATTATCATTAGCGGCATCACATTCCACTTGATAATAACAACAAACACGAGATCGAGTTAGAATGAAAGTTCCACTTTCAAAATAATACATGGAGGGGAGTTCTCCAGCATAACGCCACTCACTTCTACAGATTGCATCTCAGTCGACTCCCCACTCGTTCTGTCGTCCTCTATTTTCAATGATCCAGCCATAACTCCGTGACTGCGCGGCCATTGTCGGTTTCCTTCGAAAGATCCGCGGAAGGGGAACTCGACCAGAAGAGGCTTGCAACTTTATGGAAAAGCCCAAGCGCGAAGTCCTTCCAACTCGCGGCCGTTGGCGCCGGTGTTCGTTCGGTGGGGAAAGTGTCAGGCTCTACTTTTCGCAGCATTTGATGTCTAAGACTCGTCGTTGTGACTGTGGTCGTCGCGAATGTTAGAAGTAGAGCGACGGCTACTACGAGTGATCAACACAAAGCAAAAAGCGCACGTAGACGCACAACAAGAGTAGCAGGCCATTGCCTGCCTGAAACGCGATCGGCCGCGCCGTCAATGGCGCGCCATATCGAAAATACATCACCAGCTACCTTGCTTCGCCTAACCCTCATCTACCTGCTGTTGCTGCAACATCTAGTCTAGTATAGACCTCTACTAGGTATGGACGAGCGACGACAAGACGCACTAGGTTAGAGAAAGCTAGTCGCACTTTCTTCCGACGTAGTGGGCTACATGGCTTTAGTTGAAGTTTCTTTAGTGAAAAGATCGAGTCCATAAAATCCCGCCCCATGATGTTGGGCCCTCACTGTCCGTTTCAGCGAGGCTTGCCGTAGCCTCGTCTGCAACACTTCCGGCGGAATTTCCCATGTGTCTTTCCGGAGGGCTGTTAGCGCTTGACCCCAAGCTAGCAGCCTCATCAAATCGGACAGTAGAAGCTCCGCTTTCACCAGTATCCTGCGATAGCAGCACGCGGCCCGCGCCTGTTGTTGTAGATTGACAAGTGAGAACCTCCATGCTCATGATTGATAGACTCGCAAGTCCAACAATTTATCGAACCAAAAACCTTACCCACCCTTGAAAATTTGAAAGGGTGGCAGAGTCTGGCACTTGATTTTAACTAACTACTTCAGGTCTAGTAGCTAGCGAGACACTAGATAGACAGGATCACAAGAAGAATCGGCACGGCGCGTCGGCTCAAGTCCTCAGGAGAAGATCTTGCGACCCGTGGGAAAGTGTGAGATGGGTCTGCAAATGGCTGCAGAATTGATTGGGAGGGAGGAGCTTTCTTGTTGATGAATGTGCGGCACCAACCTGGTGCCGCATCATCATCAAGAAGAAAGTTCGCACCTTTCAACCAATTCCACAGACATTGACATTTCCAGACCCATCTCACAAGGTCCCACAGCTCATAAGGCCCGCTCCTGAGGACTTCGACCGCCAGAAGCAGCGACTCAGCCCGTGGCCCTGTCTTCTATCTAGTCCTTAACTATTAGCTATTTAGACTTTACTTACCTGATAAGCTAACTAAGCACTTTCCAAAAATATCTGCCAAACTTTCAAACTTTCCGAGAGTGGGTAAGGTTTTTGGTTCGATGCAATTCATTGGAATTACTTACATAGTAAAACAAAAAGGCACGTCTTCAATCGGAAAAGGGTGCGAGTAGAAGTACCCAGCGACCCACTTGCCTTGACTGACTTCAGGGCCTTCTCCCCTTTTTTTTGACTCTTTGGATATTCGTTGCCAGCTGCAGGCGCCTCACTTGTGGTCTCTTCTGAGGTATCGCCGAACGAAGTGCCAGGCTCTACTTTTCCCAGCATTTGGCTCGCTAGCGTCGTCGTGGTGGCTGTGGTTGTCGCGAATGTTAGAAGCGGAGCAACGGCTCCTACACTACAGGCGATATATACGGATAAGAAAATCGCTTGTATAATACTGGCACAAACAAAACGAGTCTCGGGCTTTTTCGTGCCTGAATCGAAGTTACTGGCTGCGCAGTCATATAACTACTACCGAGCACCAATATTCAAGAACAAGACTCCCAAGATCAAAAACTAATGTCGGAAGAAGTCCAAAAGTCTCATATATTCGCTCTTCATGTGGTGCGTCTACATATTCCTACTTGGCTGCAACTGCATGAGGCTGGCCTAATTCTAATCAAAAGTAGGAGAAGTAGCTGCTGTCTTCTTCAGTTTCAAACTAGCGAAATCGTGGCCATAAAATCCCGTGCCATCTTGGGTCCTCACTATCGGTTTCGGCCAAGCTTGCCGCGTCATCGTGTGCAACACTTGTGGCGCCCTTTGTCGGATGGTTTTCCGCTGGCCTGTCAGCATTGGCCTCGAGGCTAGCAGGAGCCTCATCAAATCGGGTGGAGGCTCCGCGTTCAATAATATTCTCCGATAGCAGCACGTGGTCCGCGCTGCCTGTTATTGTAGATTGACGAGTGAGATAAATTGGTAAACCCAACAGTCACAGAGTAGACGGCGCATCTTCAAACGGAAAAGGATGTAAGTAGAAGTACCCAGCGGCACACTTGCCTTGACTGACTTCAGGGCTTTCTCTCCCTTTTGTTCACTCTTGGGATATTTCTTGCCAGCTGCAGGCACCCAGCTATCGCTCTCTCTGGACGAAGTGCCAGGCTCTACCTTTCGCAGCATTTGGCTCCCTAGCGTCGTCGCTGTGACTGTGGTTGTCGCGAATGTTAGAAGTGGAGCAACGGCTCCTACAACACAACTACAGGCGATATATAAGGATAAGAAAATCGCCTGTACAGGGCTGGCACATACAAAACGAGTCTCAGGCTTTTTCGTGCCTGAAACGAAGTTGGTTGCGCAGTCATGTAACTACTACCGAGCACCAACAAGAACAAGGCTCCCAAGATCAAAAACTAATATCGGAAGAAGTCCAAAAGCCTCATACTTTCTGTGAGTATTCTTCAGCTTCAAACTCACGAAATCGAGGCCATAAAATCCCGCGCCATCTTGGGTCCACACTGTCCGAGCCCGTCTCGACATGGCTTGCGGTAACCTCGTCGGCGACATGGTTGCCAGCGTTTACCTCTAGGTCAGCAGCCTCGTCAAGTCGGACAGTAGAGGCTCCGCTTCCCCTAGTATCCTGCGATAGCAGCACGTGATCCGTGCTGCCTGTTGTTGTAGATTGACAAGTGAGAGTCTTCATTTTGATGATTAATAGACTTACAAATCCAACACTCACAGAGTAAAAGGCGCATCATCATTAGGAAACGGACGGAAGTGGAAATACCCAGCGACCCACTTTCTCCCACTGCCTTCAGGGCTTTCTCTCCCTTCTGTTCACTTTTGGGATATCCCTTGCCACCTGTACGTGCCCCACTTTTGGACTCTTCTGAGGTATGGCTAGCGACCTCAGCTTCTGATCGTGTGCTCGCCACGCTCTGGGCGGCTCTTTTACTACCTGGGGAGATGTTGCGAGGGTGTCTGTCAAGAGGATCGGGCGGAGCCAGGGCGGCGTTTTGTATTCGTACTGTGCTGACAAGTAGGTCAGATTGAAGTAGAATCAGTCAAATGGAGACGAAAAACCTTTTTGAAGAGAGTACTGTCCGCACTACAGTCATCTGATCCATCTCACAATAAGAAAAGTGCCAGCGTTCCCATTTGTGTTGCCTGCGTCGTTTCCAGCGGATGGCGCTTTGATGGCTTTATCTTTGACACCAGCCTCGTTATGGTCAGGGGATCGAAGGTTCCGCGTGTCGGCGTCTAAAGCTGACTCTGATACCTCTTGCCCGCTATCCCCTACGCCATGACTCACCTCGGCCGCGTCTGTTGGTTTACCTTATATTTTTGAGGTTTTCTTGGGTAGAAAGATAGTTGTTGCAGTGTGATGAAGTTTAATACTTGTCCGGCTGGCACCATCTATAGGCGATACTTCTTCGTAACCAAGTAATGTGTCTCTTTGTATCGAGTCCAGGATAGAAGTTGAACAATGAGTGCTTGTAGAAAGCTATTAGTGACTACCTTGCTTTTGCGTATCATCATGGCCACTGGAAGCGGATGCCGCCGTGGATTCTACCACGTTGGCAGTACTGTCACTGTTGCTACTAGCAGAACGAGAGGAGCCGTATGTGGCCGCTATTCGATTCAGTTCAGCGGCCGACCCGAATGGCTCCTGCTGTGCTGGCGTCGTTGTTTTCGCTTTGGAGTCAAAAACTTGCGCCAAAGTTTCTGAACGTCTTTCCCGCTTCTTATCGCGATGCAACGCGTGAGCAGCGTCGAGATACAAGATAGCTGACCCGGCCTTCGCTGCCCGCCATAAACTGCTCTCTCTTCGTCGCCCTTTTGCTCGTCCGCTCTTGGTCTTGCCGAGGACCGTTCGTCTTGAGCCGCCGCTGGCTAGTCGTAGAGACTGGCGAGGGCGTTTGTTAGAGAAGACGGAAGCTATTCATTGGTTTCTAGTGCCCGTCATTCACAGACAGTTCGGCATACAAGACGAGCACTATAGTGCCGCCTTTCTCCCTGCGTAGAGACTCGTCCCGAGTCGAGAGGAGCGACGTGGTAAGTGAGGGATCTATGGTTTTTCGAGAACATGAGTCTATCAAGCAAGATGCCTGAGTCTCCAGCACTTCCAAAGCAGAGGCTCTCTAGCCAACCGTTGAAGCAACACTCTCAAAGAAGTTGAAAAATGAAACGAAGATAGCTTCTGGATTACAACCCACAGAAGTGACAGACATAACTGCCCCAGTGCCTCGGCTCGTACTAGCAAGAGCGTCCCAGTTGGGATTGCTCGAACTAGTAGCCGCGCTGTGACCAATGATCACGCTGGCCTTCGCAGGTTGGTTCTCGTCCTCACCCACCGACGCCTCCTGTTGCGTGACCTCCGTGGCCTCCATCTTGATAGCTGCATCCACCATGTTGTCTAACTTCTTGAAGTCAGATCTTCACCAACAAGTAGAACTCGTCGTATTTGATCTCTTTATATTAATTTCCAACAAAAATCTTTTATGATGGAGATAGCTGCACAAATCCGCCCAACTCTTGCTCAGGATCTTTATGATGTACCAGTGTCCGAAGTAGATTCTTCTGTAGTACTAGATTGTTGGTTGTCGTTGACCCTTTGAGGATCACGCAGCTCCATTCACCTGTACAATGAAAATGTTGCTTCTCGCTCGAAACGTCGAAGTTGTAGTACTGCAAGAACTGTGCATCCGCAGTAGAACAAGTTATCGTGAAGAGCGTCAATTTATCATGTTCCCATCTGCTAGATCAATTTCAGCTGTGCAAAAGCCGCATAATGCAAGGCGTCGCCCGCTTCTGCTCTACAGAATGAATGCTGCTCCGGCATCCTCACAATTTGTCAAGTTTATAGATGTCTGAACTCATCTTCACTTAGCATTGTATGTAATGTTGAGAAAAAATTATGAAACAAGCACTATCAATTGGTCACAACGATCTTCATTCATTTTGAGGAGAGAAAACGAGACTTACAAGGTTTTAGATTAAGATTACCAACATGTTCATTTTTTCAGTACAGGATTGACTTGAGTAAATCTGAATTGTCGCTTTTTCTCTCTTCGAACGTGAACAGCGTGTTCGACTAGGTTGTTTTGGACGTGCACAACTTCAAATTGAAGAGTTTCTTTCTTACTGCTTACTTTCAAAAAAAAAACTCAGGTTTATTACGCAAGATCCATGCCTTTCCTTGAATAGCGCATAATTTGCTAAAGTGAAGAAACGCGCTTCTCTCCTGGAGTAAGGGGCTCATTTGAACTGTAATCTCTCCAGCAGCTGTACGTGGCTCCTCTGCTACTATGGATTCCTTCGCTCATGCTCAAGTCTGCGCACTCTCAGGTCGTTGATAAAAGTTGTAAATAAACCTGAATCCAGTTCATGAAGACAGAGGCTGCTAATGCAGACAGGTTTTAGGACCTATTCAATAAGAGGGCCCATGTGCAACGAAGGTAGTATCAATAAATGCAAAGACTTTATAGTATCATGAGGGCAAATTCTTCACCTTTTCAAGTCTACGATCAAACAGACGGTAGGAGTCCATCTCTCTGTGGGACCGTACATTTCTCTCTGGGACCGTGTCATGACTGTAGATGGCCATGCCATGCCTGGAGATGGCCACGCCATGACTGTACATGTCTAATGAAATCATTGTTAGTGCCTCACGTTCGTCCTGTGTATACGTGTCTAATAAACCAACCACTGACGACGGATGACAATCCTGCCTGTACTCTATAGAGATGGTTCTTAGACGTTGTTCAATTGCAGCGTTAAAAAACCTTAGAAGAAGAAACCTCCCATCCAGTGCTCAGTATTACAAGAGGCACCCCTTCACTTCGAAGAAGGAACCTCCCATCCAGTGCTCAGCATTACAAGAGGCACCCCTTCACTTCGAAGAAGGAACCTCCCATCCAGTGCTCAGTATCACAGAGTGACCACTTCACTTCGAAGAAGGAACCTCCCATCCAGTGCTCAGTATTACAAGAGAAACCCGTCACACAAACAGTCCATAAGCATTGGTGCCCAGCGCCCCAGCTGTCAAAGTCAAAATTTCACTCAGAACCCTCCGCACCTCCGCTGCAACAAAGACTTAGAGGGTTTGGGTTAAAGAATAATCCTTTAGGACTTTAAATTGGTTCTTGACTAATTAATAGACTTATGATGACAAATATCTATCCTGTGGTTGCAGCTATACCATCCTGAAGGATTTTCTGCCATTTCCCTTTGTACACGAGTTCTCAAGCTCAAGGGCCGCTAAGTAAAGAGCACTTAATCGAGTTTCGATAGCCTGATGCAAAATTAGTAGAAGAAGTCAGGACACTGCACTCGTGGACGGATCTTTATGAGTGAGAAACTGTAAGATCATTACGAATAGACGGACGAGTGATCTTTATGAATATTATCAGAAACTAGACGCAGGAGTCATTATCATAACCTTCTTCTTATCTACGACGTAGTAGCTATACGAGTAACTAGGATCATCTTAACCTTTTTCCCATCTTCTACGAACCTCCAAGCGAACAAGATGATCGCTTCTTTCATCCATCTTCCGTGTATCTGTATGTGGGAAGACCAAAGCCCTCGCAGCCTTCCAGCACCGCCTCAACTGCCAAAGGAGGACATGTGGCGCGTAGGCAGCCAGCCAGCCTCGAACTTATCTTAGAGGTAGCGAGAATGACCGAAAAACTATACCCAGAAATCACGAAAACAGATGAAGAAAAAGCATGCCTTCCCATCCGTCCTCTTCTAAACTACGATTCTGTTGTCCGTACGCTACATACACGCTAGAGCGCATGCATTCTTGACGAGACACTTACTGATTCGAACAATGAACGGGGGCGACAGCCCGACGCAGCTTAACACGATCTACTCTTCAGCGACATCCTTTTTCTAGGATGACTTTTTTTAAGAAGCTACTTAAGCGATGCTGTAAGGTTCTCTTTACGGTTACCGTAATCCTTCTTCCGCTGGGTAGCAGGGTTGTAAAAAAGCAACACTAGCTGCCTCCACGCCGTCTCGTCCACTAGGCAAGATATTAGATGAGGTTCTCATCGATTTACGACGAATACGATTCGAAAAGAATAGTGTAACATTTTCTAACATCCACGTATACTTGTTAAGTAATAGTCGCATGATGAGGCGAGTCTACCTCTGAAAATAAAAGAGTCAATCTATGTCCTCTAAGATGAATTGACTTGCGTAGTTCTACCCAAATCAGTGGAAGCAAAGTGTTGGCGTCTTAAAAGCCTCGGAATCGCGCTTTTCTCCCCTGAGTTCCGCATTAAGTCGACCAAGCATCTCCTCAGCATGTCCAGCGGGGTAAAGGAGCCTGGACGTAATCTTAGAGCAGCAAAAGAAATTGAAAGTGCTCTGCACACGTCCCTCGTCTTGTTCTCCGAATTATCGATTCCAAGAAGTACAAGTACTCCCGGAACAAAAGCTCTGCAACTAAGAAGCAGATCTATCTTTGCTCTTGCTTGTGAAGATGAACATAGAACATATCTATTGTGGAAGAGAAAAAGTCCTTGCCCTCTAAGTACATCTTCTAGAGAATTCCACCGTTTAACGGTGGATTACTCTAGAATTAACAAAATTATTTACTAAGTCTAGATCTAAAGTCGTTACAACCTACAGTACACCTACTCTGGCTCAAATACAAATGAATCAATTACAATTTATAAGCAGACCTACAGCACCACACCTACTCTGGATCAAATTCCATGTCGATAGCCTTAACACTGAGCGCCTCAACGCTATCACTGATTCGCGTGAAAGCCTTGGGCACGCGCTCGCGGAGAAGATCGCGTGCTTTCTTCACCGGAATCACCGAGGCCGCGTTCAATATTGGGTCATCGTCTACAAGAGTCGTAACACGATGAATAAGAGTGGAGTCGTCTACATTCTGTTTTCGCAGTTTTTGAGAAGAGCCTTGTTGGGAAACAGAAAGCCTGTCATGTTGGACGAGAACCTATCATATTGACCGACGTGTTCTTAAACATGATCATCATAATATGAGGATGACCAACTAAGACTAGCTTCGTTACTTCTATGAAAAAACACCTACTTACTCGTAACTTCTCCGATTTCCGAATGAGCGTTTTCCGCGTCGTCCATCCGCTTATCCTCCGGCCCTAGCAAATCGCCCCATAAACATAGATTCTTCGCTGCCTGAGATGGAAAAGCGTCCGTGTGAGGGACTCCATGCTTCATTTTAGAGGACGAGAAAGAAGAACGAGAACTGCCCTTTAGCTCTTTTCTTGGTTACATCTGTTTGAGTTGTTTCCTTCCTGTGAAGCCAAGTACTCTACATCTGTGGTCTGAGAAGTTTTCCTGGATAATTATCTACTTTGCACCTACAGATCATGGAAGTCATGATCCGTGTAGATCATCATCTTGAACAAGTCAAATTCTAAAGTTAGTTGCAGAAGCAAGTTCTTGTATGAAAAAGTAGCACTTCTGATCTACTTGTCGAAATCTGCTAACCAGCATAAAACGCATGATGATAACGAAGCCGTAAGAAGTGTTGGTCGTGCTTGCCGTTTTTGTTCGTCCGAAATCGTCATTAGAGCTATCGTCATTAGAGCATCCCTGAGTGCATCCTTTTTTCAAGCAGAAAAAGAAGAGCCATCAAGGATGCTGCTGAGGAAGAGAATGCTCCTTCAGCGGAAGCCGTAATGTCACGTCAGCTGTCGCGAGTGCTCGTAGGACGCAGAAGAGCTCACGGTCGCGGCCAGCGCGATACAAGAGGTGGAAGAAAAACACAATGACGTGCGCTAGTCCCGCATTGCGCCCAAAGAGATGTACGTGGATACCTTGCAATTCCCGCAGCTGTCCCGAAATAATCTCTTCCTTCTCCTGCTCATCCGTCATCTCACGTGGCTGGGGAAGATGCTTCTTGTGAGATTAGATCAGAGTGGGAAGCATAGAATTAGTAGGAAGGAAAGACTTGCTGAAGAAACTGGTCTGTCCCCATCATACTTACTCCTATTAGTACTAGAGCATCCTTGGCATCAGCGTAGCTAACAAGTCTTTTGCTGTTTCCAAGGTAGCATGACGAGAACAAAACCTCGCTCTACTTGCTATAATTGATATACAATGATTATGTTTTCTCCATACTTTGTTGACTGAAATAAGCGAGTAATCTAAATAATATAATCTCAGATACTCGGTTAAATTGTATTTGTTACTCGCCTATTTTCAGTTTTCGACTACATCTTGATATACAATCAATGATTATGTTTTCTCCATGGCTTACATCATTCTTTTGGCTTTCTACTTCTACACGACCTACGACACTATCACAGCCATAATGTTGTACGGCTAGATAACCGGTGAAACTGTCCAGACTGATTTTATCCACAAAGTCGTGATCGGGTACGGCGATTAGTTGTTTTTCCTGGTCGAGCAATGGCCACAAGGTGCTGTCAACAAACCCGTCGTTCACTCCAGAAAAAGCGTGCTCTTGCAGCACTCGAGGAAAAGTGTGCCCGTTCACTATCTGCCATGCTCGCTGCAACACTAGTGCACTATGCGCAGACACTGCTACTCGGACATCAGCATTCGTGACACCTCTTAGCGCTGCTCGGACATCAGCATTAGTGACACCTCTACTTAGATTGGCAGACCACGCCTCTCGTGCGTTGGCACCCCCATCCTCTAAACCGATTACACCCTCACCTGGTCCTAGACCAAGATCTTCTGCTTCACCAGATGCAGCAGATTCGTGTGCTGTCAGGATATCCTCTTTTCCGAGAAGGTAGAGTCCTGCAAGGTGTCTGCGTCCGCTGTCGCGGAAGCTGCTACGTCGGAAAAATGTAAATTTGCCCTCGGCATCCAAGGACATGCCGGCGACGTTGTACATCTATTTTAGAGGTGAACGATCGGTAATATTTTTGTGCCAATGATATGAGTACCCAGCACTAAAAATAGACTTAGTTACCTCTACTATGGGACCGAATTCGAGTAGCCGGATATAACTATATCTATAGCCACATCTTCAAAAATATTGAAAATGAAAAACATCTTCGCTGCCTGCTACACTCTAAAAAGCAAGGACGATGGTTTCAATAAGATGACAGAAAGGAAACCTGCATTGACATGTTGTACCACGTGGTCGTCGTGGACAAACTACAGACATCCGACTACTATACAAACTACTAGATCTCTTAGAGCACCAGCAGGAAGAAACTACTAGATCTTAGAGCAGGAAGAAGATGAGAGTTTAAACACAATCGAGACTTAAAACACAATCATAAGTATTGAACAGCAAAGAGATGGCTGTGCGGTCGCAATCGTGTTACTCGTCCCCGACCGAATTTCTGTTCCACCCGTCTCAAAGCACGCATATCCGGTATCATTAGAGCAAGACTTATAATCTAAATGATGATTCTGATTTTCATCACGTAGAAATTTCTCTAGTTGTACATATTAATTTTCAATCACGTAGTAGAATTATAGAGAAGATCCTATTATATTAAATTCTCAGTTCCTCAATCTTAGGACTCGCCTTAACATAACATGGTCCACGAAGCGAAGCCTGGTATTCTCAGCCTCCCAGAAAGACAGCATCGAGTTTTGGACCAGCGTAGGACGCATTATAGGGTGACACCTGGAGGAAGGATTCACAACACGGATGTGATGACATGACTTAGATTTTCCTCCTAAAGGAGACCAGATAAAAGAAACATTTAGCATAGCTTTTACTTGCATGCCTGCTACAGATCAGCAAACATTTTTTCGTCCATGAGCTGTGCAGGTGTTCGCGCTCAAGCTCGCAGCTCCTACCAGCTCTTCCTCTGCATGTTCACCTACACCTGAAACAACCTAGTAACTAACTACTTACTCACAACCTCAACAACAAACCATACCACTTCCTGATCGCAGTCTCGACACCATACTACGCTACCCTGAAACATTACTCCTCCTGCTACTTCTGGATCGAAGGTTATATCCGGCCGCCGTTTCAATCGGAGCGTACTGGTCTTAGATACAGCAGATGGAGGTAGTACCTAGTAGTATAAATTCATCGATGTCTTTTGTGGTCATCAATTCAAGACTGCAACAGAGCGAGGAAAGTCTGTCACAAACAAATCAGTGGGTAGTTAATGTTAGTGTTAATGTTAAGGGTAAAACTCGTGTTACTTAGTTACGTCAGCTTTGAAGAATGCGAAATAAAACTGACTATCACAAATACAAGAGCTAAATATCGAAGTATTGAGTTGTTTGCTGCAGACGCAGCCGCTACTCCATTCTGTGCTAGATGATGAAATCAAGAATCAAGCCATCAAATACCCATTAACTATCGACATGAAAATATTTTTAACACCTTCCCTTAATACTCGGTAGCATCGCCATATGCGGCCCTTCGGTTTCGGTTTTAGACGGCACCAAAATCGGTGACACGAAAATCGTGTCCGCGTCCACGTAAAGTACATCAACGCCCCTTTTCTTCTTGCTCGTCTGGTTTATCTGATCTTCTTCTTCTTCTCTAGATTCTGTTAGAGAACAGATGATAGGTCACGACGTGCTTGTTTACGACTATCGGCCTCTGGGTCATCAGCCGATTTACTTATTCACAAACGAGCCATGAATAATGCACCTGCGTTCTTCTAGGTGAAGCTACACCTTCTGTTGACATTAGAACAGATGACAGGTCGCCTCCAAATTTTGGCAATTTGCCTAGAAGTAAGTAAGGAGTCGTGTTCAACACGACGACTAAGGAGGGTTGGTTTTTTGCCTTGGCGCATGATCACGACGTGCTTGAGAGATCCTCAGCTGTATCAGCGATAGTTGTTGTTTACGAATATTCATGCGTAATCATCGCATCTGGGTCTGGGTCATCTTCAGCCTATATACGGGTCTGGCTCAAGGTCTGCTTTTGCAGGTTTAGGCTAGCGCTCAAGGCCGATAGAACTTATAAGTTCGTGCATATATATTTTTTGAGCTTATGCTCCTTTTCTACGCATGAGGTAAGGTGTTCCTGGCGATCTTCATTATAAGTATTCGCAGCCGAGCCATAAATAATGCACCTGCGTTCTAGGTGAAGCTACACCTTCTGTTGACCTGGTCCTCAACCGCGATAGGGCGAATCGAATAACTTTCATCTTGTTGTTGAACCAGAGATTTACGTTGGCCCACAACTCCGCTGGAGGACTGGCGACTTCGCTGTCGTCCGAATTTCTGCCGGCCGCTTGGTAGTCTATCTCCAGCTGCAACGTTTCGTGCGACGCATCCCCAGTTGAAGATGTTGCTGTTGATGTCATGCTTAGAGATGAAAACTTCAGTGTCAGGATAAAAATCACTTATACTAGTAGTAGTCCTGAAACTCGACGAAAAATTCAGTGTCAGGACAAAAATCACTTATACTAGTACTGAAACTCAAAAATGTTTCTCGATGAGGCTTGGGAAAGAAATCGTCGTTGCAACACGAGGGCTTTGCCTTAATTCAACTGTCGAAGCCGGTCTTGCAGAAGTTCTGCGACGACGCTCCTCGGTTCGATTCCGACTCTCCTGCCATGCATTCCACCCATCCGTACTATGAAATCATGTAGCTACTTAGTACAAGAACAAAGCACATTTCATATTAGCGTACTTACCAAGCGTACTTGGTCGTATACAACAACATCTGTACAAGGTAAGATTGGGCTAAGTTAGGGTACTTAAGTTAGGTTAGGGATCCGGCCAAGATTGAATTACACACCAAAAGATGTTAGACTGATAAAAAGAGGGACAAAGTCTCTGAGTCCATACATACGTTCGGCAGCGAGGGCTTCATCTCCGCTTTGGAACTCGACTCGGAGTGGCCTCTTAGATGAAAAGATAGTTGTTTGTACAAACGAGACCGCAACAAACATTGAAGAACAATCAATATAGAGCACTACGACAAGGACAAGCGAGTTCTTCTACTTAGCATGCAGTACTACTAGTAACGCATACAAAATGTCAACACAACTCTTCTCGCATAAAGAGTTCTTTGAAGAAGTCGGCTCGATGTAAGGTGTCTTGCTGACACTCCTTATCCGCCAGCACGAAGACTAGTGCACGCGGATGCTGCACATTCAACGTCAACAGACTTAGAGGATGAAGAAACTCGACCACGATGAATGAAGCCGTGAAAATAGGAATAATCAACATAAAATGCTACTCTGTGACAATACATACAAGTAGTTCGTGTTCGAAGGCTGTGCAGGAAGAAACATTGACAAAAATGCCACGTCAAGCAACATAAAAGAAAGGCATAGAAATCGGAGACATGTGATCGCGTACACAGCGTAGCGTATGCAGTAGGAAGTGTCTCCTCCGTTCGCGTACGTCGGCTTGACTGTCCATCCGCGTCCACCTCACAAGCTGCAAGCATCAAAATTGGTAGCCCCCACAGGATGAAGCGGGGCGGCGGGAGCACAGTCAGCAAGAAATAAAAAACACTCATTTTGAATTGAAGAAGAACGTCAACGTGGTCTGCTCAGAGATTATGATGCTAGCAGTTGTTGAAGGAAGTTGAAGAACGTCTGCTGAGAGATTATGATGCTAGCAGTTGTTGAAGAAAGTTGAAGAACGTCTGCTGAGAGATTATGATGCTAGGAGTAGTTGAAGAACATCCGCTGAGAGGTTATGATGCTAGCAGTAGTTGTTCGAAGCCCAGGAGTCTAAATTTTTGAAAAAAAGATGTCTCCGAAGAATGGCCTGAAATTAAGGAAACGTGGTAGACAGAGCAGGGTTATAATTGATAGCACGATCAAAAGGAGTACTACCGGGACTCGATCCTCGCTCTGATAGCAGCAGGCACCGATGAGTTCAGATACACGCTTATCAAAACAAGAAAGACTGATGTGTACGCTTGTGGATCTGGCTCCTACTTGTTCTATTATCGTGATTTAAAATCTTCACTGTGGGTTTTTCTAACATCGTCTCTCTCCGCAGAGGTCGGTGCATAAAAACCGCCTGCTTATCCGGATTAGTTTTAGTTAACCCTCTTTTGCATCTGATGACCGACTCAGACTCAATCTTCAGGACAGTCGGGAACAGAAGACCTATTCTTGAGGCTCCTCCATGCGACACAAACAATCGGTTGCTTCGACAGCACCGGGATGGCTCTTTTACTCTAGACTCTTTTACTCTAGACGTCTATCTTGTTGGCTCTTCTTGTACGTAAACAGGAAGTACTAGTTTGCGTTCGTTCATACGTATCTAAGCATGCGACAAGGGTTCGCACCTGAATGCTGTGAGTTCTTGATGCGTACCAGCTATATATTGTTAGCTCGTCTAACTTCTCCCCTACCACATCATCATTCTCCTATTGGAATGCTAGACCTGACGATTCAGGTCCTCTCTCATTCGATGCAGCTATCCGATGCAGCTTCTTGGGTCGTGTACTAGGGTAACTTGAAGTTCGTCCAGGCAAAAGTCTTCATGGCCTAAAACAAACCTATCACACTCAACATGCGATATGTAGTACAACATGATACTTTTCATGGAACAATTATACCATCAACCCCATAGTGTCAGAATGTGAATCCAAGTGCATCTCACAACAACATGAACCATCTTATAATATACGGACGCGCTATAATGTAACACAACAAGGATGAAGAGCAGACTTCACGGGTGGACACAATTTTGCGTTGAACCCCTATGAAGGCAGCCAACATCCTTGTCTAGAAGCCTTACTTGGTATTGTACACGAGCTGCAACCCTAAGTCCATGAAGTGTGACCCTCAGTCCATGCACCATGATCCTTTTAGCGAAGGCCTTGTTTCTCTTCCTCTTACTAGCCGTAATCCATCTGCAGGAAAGACGGGGACTACACATCACGTCCGCCAGAGTAAAAGTTCCTTCGATGTCGACCACACTGGCCTGCCCTTATGCATCGTAGAGTTTCACCTGATCGGCCGCGTCTCCACGCTTTCTCAACATCACTCCATCACGGTTCTTTCGCAGATGAATGATCACGTTTACCTCCTAAGTACTTAAAATATACAACCGGGTTGTGACTGTGAGAACCCTTGAGTTATATGCAAATGTTAGCGATGATGGCTACGTGATCACTGGGATGGTCGCGATTCGGTAGCTTCTCCGGTTTTGCTACAACATACGCGTCTAACACTTTTTGAGAGGCGAAATCTGCGAATTCTATCGCGAAACTGGGAACTTCCAGTGTTGATGCAACATTTCGATGCTCCTGGTTAGTATCAATATTAGCGGTAGGTTTTTGGTGCACGCTTACCCCGCTTGTTATGCCTTTCCCCCTTAGAAGAGGCATAAACAGCGGTAAGAAAAGCACCTTTAACCTACCCTTAATAATATCGTTCTTTGGTGGAGGTAAGTGAGGAAAGCAGGAGCTACTGATGTCGGTAATGCCTGTCGACGTGGCGGGACTCAGACTCGGGGGACGCCAGACTAGGACGTAATCAAGCACTGCTTTGACGTCCCGGTCCATCCAACCTGCCCACGTCGTGTATGCGGGATACGTGTCTTCGGTTGATGCTGGAGTTTTTAGAGCTAGTTTTTCATCATCATACAGAGTTATTGTATTTCACCTTCACGGTAATGAATTGTTCCTGGCTTGATAAAATAAACCGAGTTTGCCATATTCTCCTCAGCTAAGCAAATTTTTACACACTCTGACTGCAAACATTGTTCCTTCTAACGAGAAAAATCATCTTCTAGCCATATATTCAACGCTGCAGTTCCGCTCCTAGACTCTACGGCGTTGCGAAAGCCAAGCCGTTCGAGAAAAGGAACGACACTCGGCAAAACGGGGTCCTGCAAGGTTTTCACCTGGTCTCCCTCCACAGTGATCGTGTTCACATACGGCCGACAGTGGGAGTTCAGATCCGCGGCGAGCACAACAGCCTTACATTTATTCGCGCCATAGATTAGACGATATTTTTGAAGATAGTCATAGTACCACTGGTCGTGAAGTGATCCATCATCTTCAGGAGACCCACTCACTTCTTGGAGGAGAAGATATTTTTCATGTATATTTTGTGGTGGAGACGAGGAAGGAGAAGATATTTTCCGTGTATAGAAAGTGGAAAAGCCCTGAAAATTCAAGACGCATCTGAGAGCTATTTTCCGCTAGCTAGAAAGGATCTCCAAGATCTAGATCATGACGGTTGTGTCTCTCAACTCTCAAGATACAGATGGACTTACCTCTAGTTACTCTTACTAGTACATTAATGAAACGAGCCTTAAGTAAATTCGTGACGTTTCCGCATCAAACTCGCTTATGTGCCATGCGAGTCCCTTTACCTGCTCTACCCTTAGGGATTCCATGGCTTCTGAAAAGCCTGCTTTCAAGTGCGTCGTTGCTATGATCACATCCTCTTGCTGGTTTTGCACGATCCGACGAAACCTCCCCATCGCTGCCACCATAATCGCGTTGTCCATCAACTTCGTCCGCTTACTCTTGAGCAACTGCCACCGTCTTCTATTGTATAGAATGCAGCAGCCGTCCTTGGCGAAATGGCCACGTTTTTTGAAAAAGATCCCATCCACCTCCACCGACTCCAAGCATTGGCGCACTACCGCAACGGATCTAAAAGTTTCGATCAAATTCTTGTAAAATGGCTCCTCTATTTCCTGCAAACACGCAAAATCCAGTGCAGCAGGAGAGGACACAGATCTGGACGCAGCAGCTCCGTTGTGTCTGCCGGAGTTGTAATCTTCGCAGTGGTCTATGTTGTTGTTGACCTGGTGCCCAGCACTTACAGGCGGGCCCGAAGCAGGATAGAGGGATTCTGGGAAGAAGTAGTCGCGCAAAGAATGGAAAATACGAACCTTGCGTCGTGACCATGCTAGATCCTCATTGGCAGCTCGAAACACGTGTTGATGTGTCCGCCCTTCGCCCTCATCTTAGGGGTTGAAAGTTGGCCCCCATCTAGTTGTAGCTCGCATATCATCTATGGCTTTCCTAAGTACTTGAAGTTGAAGAGACCATAGAGATACTGTCATAGAGATGCCAACTTCCAACCCTTAATCATCCAGGAAATAGTGGACGCCTCCGCTCCAGTCACTGGGCGTCCGCAGGTACAACTCTGGACCGAGTTGCCGGGTCCTGCGTTCCACCTCACCGGCTTCGGATCCCTCGGCAAGTGTCGGTGCTAGGATGTTCCACTGCAATAGCCGTAAGTTGGGTACCACATCGACAACAGGAGGGCTACTCATTTTTACCTGTGTTGATACAACTGGGTTCCCTTCATCTGACGTTCTGCTTGACGATGCGATTGTTCTAGGTACTATTGCTGGAGATGGTTCACCTACTTCTACCACTCTCTTTGATGTACTGCTTGACGAAGTAGTATAATTTTGTTCTTCTGGTAAAACTAGTGTTGCGGCATCAGAAGATGGAAGTTTATTCATTGATGCTGGGTTCGCCTCAGGCTGCTGCTTCCATGCGTTCCTGCTCATCAGTGTACTAGTAGTATTGGTGCTGCCGGCAGCGTGAGGAGATGCACTCGGTTTAGTAACTGAAGTAGATGGACCAGCATACGTATAAGCATTTGCGCTACTCGATGAAGAAGCGACATTAGCACCAGTAGTTGTAGATTTATTTGACGTCTTTACTTCTTCCACAGGTAAGAGCACAGGTTCAGGAGACCCGCATCGGACCGGGGACGGTGTTGAAATTCGCTTTCCTCTCCGTTTTTTGCGGGCAGCAGGGATAAATTTCTTCGTGCTGTCTTGAGGCTGGTCTGCAGAAGTTGCAGTGGTATTTCCCGTAGCACTACTGGCATTACCACCAGTGGTATTTCCCGTAGCACTACTAGCATTGTTTTTAGCTGTAGTGGTCATGCTGCCCAACGTTGCACCATGGTCCGTAATATCTATTGTTTTCGCTGAAGACACAACACCCCCACCTTTGCCGTTTGTCACAGGCGTAACAGGTGTAGCATCGCTCTTGCTAGCGTCAACATCGGTTTTTTCGGAGGCGTTGCGGGTCTTCTTTTTCTTCCTGTTACTCTTATTTGGAGTCTGGTTTGCGGTCACCTGCACCTCGACCTTCTCCTCCACCTCCTCCTCGGATGAACTGACAAGGGCCCCGAAACGATTCATTTTTTGATTTAAAAGGTGCTGCCTGTAGTCAAAGAACTGAAATTCAAATTATCTCCGTAAAAATCAAATATCAATTACATGGGCGGCAATGGAAATCTGTAAGTAATAGACATTACACGTAAAACTAAATGTGGTAAATTGTTCGCACACAAAACCTTGTTCGTGGATTGGTTCAAGGCAACATTCACGAAGAACAAGAGAGAATGAATTACGAACTGTCGCACGTCTACTACAATATGTGCAACATAGTGGAACTTTTAAAAGAATCAATTGGCATCAAGATCAAAAACCGAAATTTTTAGCAAATTATCCGGACAACTCTGGTGTCCTTGACAATTACTTAGCGTATAACTACTTTTAATAGATAGCTTCTAGAAGTGCCTATGTTCGCATTTTTGCAGTACAGTCAAGCGTCGGACAAGGAGGATCACTTCGTGCAGAGTCTTTTAGTACTCGTGGAGATCGATGAGATTTGCGGTTGATCAGCATCCATAATTTTCATTTCCATTTCATTCGTCATTCTCAGAAAAATGTTGATCATCTTGTTGATAGTTGAGTTCTCTTGCTTCTGAGAGGACTCTAGGACTCAACTAGAAGTACGTTTGAAGTGGCAGAACACAAGCGAAAACGTCAGAGAACGTGAGTTGACTGTTTTGTAGTTCGTTGTCTTCTTCTCTGCACACGGCACATAGTAGATGGCGTTAGAAAAAAACGTTTCAAGCCAAGCATCAACGAGCATTGAATATCATATTTAATGTTGAGCGGCTTTCAAATCTCTAAAAAAAAACACAAGGGAGTAAGAGCAGCAGGAGCAGGTCTAAAGAACATTGAAAATTATTTGGAGCAAAAATCAAAATGTCCGTCCTATGATATAGACCAGGACAAGCATCTCAGTGCTGCATCTACGAAGACACCTCCGGCACAACCATTTTAGTGCATCTGCGAACAGACATCGAGATAAACCTTCGTGAGGTCGCCTGTTACCGACTCAGGTATGCTCGCTGTCATGCCGTAAACGCCAATCGCGGCTTCCATATTCCACTTATCTTCCCTCAAGCATGTCGCAATAGAATCCTTCAAATCGCAGATGAAAGGATGCTCTTCGCTATTACCCGTGAAGCCGGATGAACAAATAGAGGCTTGGGCTTCTCCTGCTGCAGCTGGATCATCTGGAAGTTCATCCTTGTTAGAAGTACTACTATAATTATTTGAGTCTGTAGTTGACCTTGAGGACCTACTAATTGAAGTAGTAGCTGTCGTACTTGGGGTCGCGTTTGTTGTGGTGTTGCCTTGGTCTTCTTCAGTAGAGGTGGATGCCTTGATGTTGCTATAGCTCAGTCGCGCCACTGGGAGAGTGACGCAAAGATGTATGCTCGCTGGGTTCTGTAGGCTGTTCAAATTCCACCCATGCTTCTTGCTCATGACCATTCCTACAGCGTAGACGTTTACTGTTGTCTTATCCCTTGCTCGAAAGCAGACCACACTCGTGTCGGCACGCCCTATGTGTTCGAGGTACTGCGACACAAATGGGTCTGTGCGGATGCTCTCCGCGATGTGTCTGGCGCATGTGACGATCTCCCTTGAAAATTAGAACAAGAACTAGGAGGAATCCAGCATCGGCGGCATCTTTCGTCCCCTTGTCCCTTGAAAAATGGGACCAAGATGCCTGTGAAGATAGATTTCTTGTTGTAGCCTTAAGTAAAGGAGACGTATCTGTCATGGCCTATATGCGCTAAAACAGCCCAACTGGTCGCTGCATGCACCCCCTCGCGCGATCCGGCGACTGTTGGCGAAGCGTAGATGCCTCCAGTCCAATCAGGGCAGGCGACGGAACCTTAGAAGGTAAGAAATATTTGTAGTTCTTGTAAATGTGGATATTTCCAGGGATTCGGATTAATCTTTCCGAGCCATCCATTGATCATCAACCTCATGAATGTTCATGAAGAATACAAGATGAACTCGTGTACTAGTGGTCGTGTCATAAAAGTGGTGTGATCGCAGCTCGCTGTCCTTGAAAAGCACAAGTGATATGCCTTTCCCTGTGTATCCGTATTTGTGCAGATCGACGCTCATACTAGTTACTCCAGTATTCGTTCCGCGGAAATCAAAAGCCACTGGCGCAGGCACGCCCGCCTCCTGCATGAAGGGCAGAAGGAAGCCGCCCAAGCAAGCATCTACATGTAGGCCAATGTTGCGCTTCTCTGCCAGGGCAGAAAGTTCAGGTATGGGATCGATGGCGCCGTTCGGGTAGTTGGGCGCACTACCTACGATAGCCACTGTATTGCTGTCGATACGACTGGCGATGTCATCTACATGGACGCGCCCCTCCGTCAGCGAATAGTCGTCGCCACGTAATGGGACCTTGGGATTTTTCAGGCCCACCTCAATAAAAAGAAACACTAGAAGCATGATGTGCATGTGTAGTGTATCTCGAGTTTACTTTAGTATGATAAGGAGAAATACCATGTGGTCTTTTTCATCCGATGGATTAATATTATAGGTAAGTAGACGTAGGTACTACGTCTTCAAAATTGCGAAACAGAAACATCAGTTCCAATTTCAAATGGAAGCTGTTACTTCCATAGATGCAAGTACCTTGCGCAGCACGATTCCGAAGTAGTGAGCCGCCTTATCGAATGCCGCATGTGCGGTAATGGGTGCGACGATGTTAGGCCTACTGATGCCCTTTTCTGCTCTACCCCAGTTGCGATAGGCCAGCATTGCCATAAGGATACTCTCCGTTCCGCCAGTGGTCATGGAACCACACCTGCCAGATAAGACCTCATATTCGTCTCCTAGACAATCAAATAAACTCAGCAGATTGAAGTTGCTATAATAGTACCCCTATTCTGATATCCATCTCCTAGACAATCAAAACTCAACATCAAATTCAGATTGATGTAGTTCGTTGTATCAGGAGGTTCTAAAAGAATGTATCAGGTTCTATATTAAAAGAAATAAATTATATAGTTGTATCAGGTTCCTCTACAAGAAATATAAGTACCCCGCTCCAAAAAGATTCTTGACCATGGAGATGACTTCTGCTTCCAACTGTCGGCAGTTGTTGAAGATATCGCTGTGTAGGGGGTTCGCCAGATGAAATTCTCTGTAGGCTTCGGTCATCACGGTGCGCAAATCTACACTTTTCTCGTCTGATCTATATTAGATATTAGTTTTTCGTTCCCTCATATCCATTTCGTCACACCAAATAATTTGATAAGTAGAAATGAAATCCTAGATTGATGACTAAGGCATTGTAAGTCTAAACTAGAAGTAAAAGTCACTGGTGTTCTTCAAAATACTCGAACTGTAAGAGTCATGACTTGTTGTTCAAAGCCTTAAGTTGATGACGTCGCGCCACATGTTGCGCCACTAGTGGGTGCTTCCGCAAGCTGCAGGCCATCTGGCGCTGTTGAGATCTTGAAAACTTCCACTTTTTTATCCAGGTTTTGTTCTAAGTTTGAAGAGCATGAGGCGTTCCCTGATCCATGTAGGCTGTCGTCCTTGGCTTCAGCGTACTCCATTTGGAAGTCGCCGGGATATTAGAACTAGGATGAGCACCAGGAGAGATGCTTTACAAATACAGCTACTCGAAAAACTGAAATAACCGAGTATTAACATACGAGCAGAACCGAGATACTGAACAAGAAAGAGTAGCCTGTCGAGACTAGGTCTCTTATTTCAGTCAGTAATTCGGCTATTTTCAGTTTTCGATTAGGCTGTTGTAATGTTATTGAAGAGATGTAGTGCGACCTACTGTTGCTGAAATAGTCTACTTAGTTAGACGACGAGCTAGAGTACAAAGCGTTCTATCTTCTCTTGATGAAAAAACCAAGAACAAACGTTCTGAGTTATTTTCGAACATTGACGTCATTCTGGGTTCATAACCTGGATACGTGGCACTATCGATGCCGTCGGTAGTTGCTTTACAAACTGAATCCAACAAACGTTCTGAGTTATTTTCGAACATTGAATCCTCTTGGCGTTCACCGAAGTAGACGCCGCCGCTGACTTTGCCACTGTTCCACAGTGGCCGATCCTTCGCGTTTCGCAGCCTCAAATTCGCTACAACTGCTCTCGGATCCCGGATCCCTTTTCGCGGTAGCGTCGCAAAACCAACGACGTCGCGACATACTCCGGCGGCGAGTTCGTTTAGAGCTGTCCGCAATTCATCTTTCAAGTGCATGATCCTTGAGAATAAGTATGGGGGAGAGCGTATTATTCCCTTAGGTGGATACTCTACTACTTCCATGAAGAGACGTTTCAAGGATCATGCGTCCAAAGATGTATTAGGTACAGCCTTAATTCGTCAGCCAAAGATTTCTTCACTTTTGCTATTTCACCTTCGATCTTGCTGCGCATCCCCAGAACATTCCAACGACGTAGGAAAGGTACTACTCGGCCATTCACAAGTTCTTTGCGAAGGGACTTAGATGAAAAGCAGGAAAATATGAGAAGGTAGTGGACTACTTTGACTTACTCAGACTCTTTAGATCCTTAGGTCATGGAGCCTCTTTTTAAGTTATCCGAACGTTTTTGAGGCCTTTCAACTATTCTGTACCTTCATTGTGAAGAGCCTTCAGAAGATATTTTACATGATACTACAGCCTTAACATACTGCAGCAAGGAACCATGGTCACGCCGCTTCAACACCAAGAAGCGCACTAGAATTGACAGGCGTCCGCTTGCGAAGATGAAGAGAACTGGCGAGATTCGACGTGCCAATGCAGCAGATTCATTCAATGCGGGGCCGGGAGACGTAGTGCCACTGCTCACTGTTGTTGAACTTGAATCCCCACCAAGACCGAATACACCACGAAAACGCGCGACAAATGTCTTCGGAGGAGTGAACAGAATCGGTTAGAGCTCACAGACCCCTGTCGTCCATCCTGTGAGAAGCAAGCATGATCTTGGTGCTTCATTCTCCTTATGAAAGAATGAGGCAGCTTCAAGGAGATGATGCTTCAGTAGATGGATTGACTAATAGGAAAGTCCGTAAATTGAGCGTAGCAAGGAAAGCCGCTCACTGCCTTGTCCGGGAGAGGCCTGAACACGAGATTCTGCAGTTACGTAGAGTAGGATGAGAAAGCTGAGGAGGCGCCACGGGTCGTCGCGAACATGGCAGAAAAACCAGTGCGCAAATTGAATAGACGACGACATTTTCGCTGGTGGGGGGATGGAGAGGTATGGATTGGTGATGGAACGGCTGGAAAATGCGTGATGAGGGAAGAGATGCGAGGAAAAAGATTCTGGAGGTGGTACTTCAAGGTGAGTAACTAAAAATCACAGGAAAATTTGATAACATACTAGATGCGATAATCCGGTTGGAAGATCGAAATCGTAATGCTATATGAATGACACAAGGTTGTAAACAAGGGGAAGACAGGAGCAGCTTTCACACAGCTTCGCTTAATTCCTCGCAACACAGCAGTTAGAACACTTATCGAAGAAAGATTGAGGGATGCCTTGGGGAGTGAGGGACGGGAAAACCTAAGCACTAGAAGAACGACCTATCGTCCTTCCTCACATGAGATATTGCTCTCAATGTTGGGATCGATAGATTAGACTGAAAATTGGTGTAGAAAGCAGGAATGAAGAGCTGCCTTCTGGAAGCAACAACGAAGAACAAGAGCTTTTAACATCCAAAGTGCAGAGGTTGAGATCATCTCGTCTTTCATCCATGTAGAAGTATACTATCTTGAATCCTGGGTGACAGCTTCGTGATACTTGAAGCACGTTATACTGAAGGTCTGAGATTTCACAACAACAACACATTCTCTCATTCTCTCTACCTCTGTCACTCTTGTTTTTGAACTCGTCTGGAGACAAAAACGGCATAGTAGGCAAGGTGTGCCTCGCATACAACCAGATTGTAAAGCTTCTACAACAGCTTTCTAGTGCTGCCTCACCCATGGTCTTGAAATCAAAAATTTTGTGGGGTCAATACTTAGATGTATCAAAAAGGCAGGCCAAGAACAGGATCCTTCTCGGATAGGTCTAGTATCATCTTGGTCTCTGTGGAGGTCTTTCACAATATCTTGACACGTGACTGAAGAGTCTATGACAAACGTTGCCAATGTCATGAAGATGATGAAATTAGCAACCAACTAGCCCTCTAGTATCATTTTGCTGTTCTCTACCAGGCTTCGCATCAGGCTGAAAGATCACACCAATGTCTGTTGCTGTGTGTGTGACCTTACCTGTAGTTGCGTCTTTGCGAAATATGTAGACATCTCCAAGATAGGCATCCCCACCAACATTGAGGACTGCTATGCCACCTGGCTTCAGATTTTCACGCGCATACGCTTCGGCATTCGCAGCGTTCATCATGTAGCCGCCATGCAGCCTGTCATACTGCTTGTCACGCGGAAGATTGTCGTTTTTCATGAAGGGCAAAGAACAGCTGTGTTTTACTCCGTGTCAGAAGTACAGTTGTATGCCAAGAAATAGACGACCAGCTACTATAGAGATAGACTGACCAAAGGACAACCATTTTGATTTGTCCGACTTCCAGGCCTACCAAAATTCATAAAGTCTTTGCTGTTGAATCATGTTCATAATCACTGCTCCTGGGAAGAAACGCACACGTTCCTGTAGTTCCTGCTCGTTCCTGACAAGCTTCAGCGTTTCTCCTAGAAGCTTATGAGCGAACTGGTTGCTGATTTCAGTGGACTTCTTGTGGAACTCAAACCCGTCTACCACACAGCCAAAGGCGGCGAATGCATTGGCGGTGATGCCACACCCAGAGCCCAAGTCAGCGATGGTTTGTCCGGGGGCAAAAGTTAGAACGATTTGCATTACTAAATGTAAATGAACTTGTGGTTTATATTAAGTAATCAGACGGAATCAGAATCTCATACAGATGTATTAATCAGACGGAGTCGGAGTCTCATACAGATGAATAGTACTTAGAGAAAGCCCTTCATGTTCAACGATACAACTTCTTCCACTGACCCCTGACTCTTGTCGTTCAAGTGCATTCACAAAGGAAAGCCATAAGAGTTCCAACATTTCTAGCATCTGCCGATTGAGACTTGCTTGTGACAAGTTGCTCTCGCTGTCTTGGAATCTCGGTACTACTTGAGGTGAATCCGTGTAGTGTTTTCGCACAAAGTCGTAAGCATCGACAAGTCGGGAGAAAGGTGACGTCGACATCTTTCTGGGGCTCTTCGTTCTGCTCGTTTCGTTTTCTTCAACAACACTTTCTTGCTGCTCTTCAAGCTGAAGACCACGTGGTCTTTTTTTCATAGACGGGTTAATGCTTCTAGTGTCAGCTTCCAGATGCAGATGATCTCCTACTGGTTTTCCTCCTTCTCGCAGTGGACGTGTATCACAGGTTTGCTCGCTAGTGTGTGCGTCTTGGTCCTCTCGTCCGGCAATTTGTTGAGTGGACGATCGAGCAGCACTCCTCGTCCGTGGTTCATCACACTTCTGCGTAGAATATATTTCGTTCTTGTTATTTCCTCCTCCAGTGGAGGTGTAATTGTCTTCAGTCTCAGTTTCCACACCCAGCTGCCCAGCAAGGTCGTTTTGACCACTAGAAGAAGCTTGCTCGTTTCCACGCGACGTAGTTTCACCTATATTCTCGTCCTCGTAGTCGCTCGCTCCACTACCTCTTTCTTCGTATCCTTCTCCCACACTTCCACTTAGTCCTGGTTCACGGCCTCGCGCTGACACTCCACGAACTGTGCCAAGCAAAGGACGATATCGAGAATGCAAAAACACGCCAGCAGCCAGTGCTTTCTGAGCTGATCCTACTTGGACGCGACTCAAACGAATCATGCAGCTGCCCATTAGTTGTTGTACAAATGAAGAAATCTACAACTCGGACTTGTTCTTCTTCTTACATAATTTCAATTTCTTGATGAATACAAGTAGCTTGAATCTTGATCATATTTTTCCGTAGTCTATAATTCAATAGCTGTGTCGTGTAGTACTACTTCTTCTTCTAAAATCTACATAATTCTCTTCTCCGTAACCACAATTGTTGACACACATTTTCCGTTTCGAGTTGTCCCATTGGTCTCCAATACAAACTCAATATACTCAAAGAATAGAATAATTATGAAAGCCAATGAATGAGAAAAGATGGCAAGCTACTCCTACTTTTGTCCTCTCTCTCGTCTCCCCTGAATCATGTTTATTTATATTTTATAGGTGGATGTAGCAACGCATTTAGCTCTCACCATGCTACACGAAGAGCTCATCAAAATTCTGAGTTCCCGTCGTGATCCTCGTGATCCGATAGGATCCCCGTTGACAGTATAACGCAGCAAAAATGCCAGCCTGGCCGTCAAGTGCCACTGACGCTCTTGATGCCGGAACGCAGTCTAAAACACTAAACTTCTTGATTGTTCAAGGAGCTACAATAAATCGTCGTCATTGTCAACGCCATCTCGTTTCTGATACAAGGAATAGCTCCTCTGCAAAGGTACAAACTACTCCACTAGGGTATCACCCAATAGCGGCACGATGAACTGCTCCGCCTCTCCCCCTATCATCTTCTAGTGATGAAAGGGGACTAGAAGACAGCAAGTGGTACTACGAGAACTTCTTCTGCACAACCGCCCCGATCTTCATCTTGAAATTTAACATGTTGTAGCTTCCACTAGAGGTAAGCTAAAACGTCCTCTAGTCTCAATATTGTAAAGCTTCCACTAGAGGTAAGCTAAAACTAAAAGGTCCTCTAGTGGTCTCAATATTGTCGCTGTGGACCCCCTTTCATGATGGAAAGACCGATTTCCAGTGCACGACGGGTTGTTTCATCCATGTTATCTAATAACGAACTTGCCCCTAGTCCTTGACCACCCCCTTTTTCGTCTACTCTGCGTCGTTTCGGTGCATGATTAATACCCTGTCCACTGCTATAAGGGTGGTCCGATGCACCACCAGAGTACGGTGGGCGACTTCCAGCAACAAACCCGCTTGACGATTTCCCCTTTTTGTGATTTTTTCCAGATGTTGAGCTGGTGGATGGATGATGTTGTTTACCTGCTTTACTTAAAGCGCAGCACTCATTGGTCATCATGACTCTGAACGGAAGCGACCCCCTTTTAGAAGGTCTCCCCTTTCCCTTCGTTTTCCCCTGTTCTCTCATAAGGGGTCGCCTCTTCGATCTCAGTGACCAACCCCGATGACCATTGAAAGTTGAGCCTTAATTTACCCTTGTGTGTTGTTGAACTAGAGCCGCCCTTATGTGTTGCGGGTCCAGCATTCCAATTCCTCTGATCATGGTCGTGTCGCACTACACCATCAAAGGATTTACCGGGTTTGCGACTGCCTTTGTGGCGTACCGATGAAGAACCACTGCCCGCAACGTCGTTTACGTTTTGATGTTCATAGTTAAAACCTGAATCGTGATGACGCGCCTCCCTAGAATTGGTGTGGTCGTAACTGGAATTCGCATTGTCGTGGTAACCGGCATTGGAAGTGTGGTAACCTTGTTTGCCCCTGTGCTGGTTGCTCTTGCTCTTGCTGTTACTGGTAGTGGAGGTATTTTTACCCTTTCTGTTAGACCATAGTACCTAAATTCATCTTTCTTTAGGTGCATCTTTAGCCCTTATTTTCCCCTTGCTGAGTGCAAGGAAGAATGTCAAAGATACCTTTTAAGCTGAATTTGTGGAAGCCTTAATGTTGCATGAGGCCTCTGCAAATGGGCCTTTAGAACGTTCATGGGAGTGCTGCCCCTTTGACGACGACGCACCAGATGCAGAACCTCCCTTGTAATTGGAACCACCGTGATGATCGGAAGACGACGCACGCCCTCCATGTTGATTAACACGTTCTTGATGATGCTTGCCTCGAGGACCACCACCAGAGAAATTTTTTGATGTGGATGCGGAACTCTTCCCACCTTGGTCAGCATCGAACGATGACGACGGTATGCTCAAAACGCCAGCACCCTTCCCTTGTAATTCGGCGCGCGGCTGTGTTCCACCAGCAGTGAGGGCATCTTCCAAAGACAGGGAGGCATCTAGAAACTCGATTTGGTTGGCGAAAAATTTTCCGACTAGATTTCGGTCCTTCTCCACTCGAAACTTCACGCTCAATGGCGCGTGGTCTAATTGGGACGTCAACCACCTGCCAATATCTGGCTCTTCCTCCTTCGTCAGGAAGGTACTGCCGGTCTGGATTAAAGGTGTTGGATCAAGTTGTTAAAAAGAAGCGCCACTATACAACAGAGTCAAAGATTCGTTGAGTCTTTTCCCCGAAGATAAGATCATGAGCCTCTATTTCTACATGACAAGAACATGATAAGCACGTGACACGTACATGAAAAGTACAACATGGTAACAAGTACATGATAAGTACAACAAAAATGAGAAATAAATACGTCTACAACTCCCTTGCACCGCCAAGCGTGGATTGTTTTGATGGCCCAAAATCGTGTGAGAGCTGCATATAGTGTTCCATCAAAATGCGAGGACCGTAGAAATCCGTATCCTTGCGTATCCCTGAAACGGTTTCATGAAGCGGGAACGACTGCCTTTGTGGACGAGAGCAGGAATAGTAACGGTAACATCGAGGGAGACTAAAAAATAATAACAGGATCGAACCAACAGTCCATTAGATAGCCAATAAAATGTATGTCATTGCTACTTATCAACATCGATGAAAACTATTCTATGATAAAGTTGTGAAAGAATTTTTCACATGAAAAAGTGTACTTCTTGCTAGACTTCTAGAGAGTAATAGATGACTATGACACCAGTCTATTCTTCTCATAAAACCAAGCTCCCACGGAGTCGCAGATTGTAGTTTGCAGCGCATTCCGCTGCCCAGTCGTCGAGGCTCCTAAAGTCGCTGTGGTCCGGATGCGAGTGCATCTGCGGGATCTTTCCCGGTGCAGCAGGGCCGTCATTGCTATTCATCATATCCTTAGAGGTAGGCTTTTCTTGGTGTTCGCTTCCCGCGTTATTTGTTTTGTTTCATGGGATAAACCTAAGGTTTAGAGGTAAAAACTAACCGGTTGTTTTATGCCTCTCTCGCTTATAAGTAGAGCGGCAAAACAAACGGGAACGTGAACGCCTGTAAGCTAGCCTTATTAATATCCAGGGAAATAAGAGGATCAACTCCAACGGCAGCTGCAGCTCCTTTATGAACACGGCCTTCTCCCTCATCAAACACCTGATTTAGAGCCCACACTTATCCATCCTGAGGACCATCCTGGATGCGTTTGCTCCTTGAAAACGTCTCTCTCTCTCTCCTAGGATGACTTCTCTGAAGATGGACCATTAGGGGAAGCCGTAACTGATGTGGAGTGTCCTCGTGTTGCTGGTGCGGGATACTAGCACTCTGGAGCGGCGTCTGTATGGGCGAAAAGGACGGTATAACACCAACGTCGTTCCAGTTTTCACTCGAAGATCCTGAAGGCGGCGACCCCGAAGGCGGTGACCCTGAAGCCGGTGACCCTTTCCAGTTCTTACCTCCTGGCGCCTTTCCTTTGGCACCCTCTTTGTTTTTGCCACCAGTTGAGGCGCCGCTGTTCAGATTAGAACGGAAAATTTCGATTTTTTCTCTCGTTCTTGGATTGCTTTACTACGTCTCGTGTATTTAAGAGAGTAGATAAGCTGATATTCAAGATCATGGGCATGCTGATGTTCAAGATCATGGCCATGCTGTCATTTGAAGTACTTATGTCTACTTAGAAGATCAGCCTACCAAAATTTTGATTTTGTAGAAGCAGGAACAACATACCATTCGGAATTCGATGTCACATCTTCCATAACTTTCGACAAAAGAGGTCCTTTTTGATGGTGAATCGCTGAAGATGGTTTCTCTCCTTTCCTATAATATGGTGAAGCTCCACCACGTTCTTCGTGTTCCGCTACAGCGCCATCTGATATATGATCATGAAGCGCCACATCAACTACGTGTTCTTCTTCTTGAGCTGGTAAGGGATCGCATTTGAGCCTCTGCTCCCAAGCTGATGTTTTCAAAGTCGGCAAGTCCGTGTAGTTCTCAGGATCCAGGAAAACGACGTCCTCCGCGTAAAATTAGAGGTAGGTTTTTGGTGCTCGCGGGTTCCCCCGCTTTTTATGCCTTTCTCATCCTAAGGGAGAGAGGCATAAAAAGCGGTAAGAAAAGCACCTTTAACCTACCCTTAATAAAATTTCCCTTCCGTCTTCCGGTCTTCTGCGACAGAGAACGCGACTAGCTTGCCAACAGCCGAAATGCGTTCCAGGAGCCATTTGGCTTTGGATTAGAAGACTGCTACTTAAGAACGATTTGCGTGAACTCCTGCTGCACTTAAGGTCAAGAAGAACAACACCTGCTGCACTTATAAGAACGATTTGATATAGATATTATGACATAATGTCCTGTTCCAGGAGCCATTTGGCTTTGGATTAGAAGAACAACACCTGCTACTTAAGAACGATTTGATATAGATTGCGAATTCGGCCTTGTCATTAGATGGCCATAAAGAATCGGTTCCTCATCTGTATGAACAAATGGGCCCGAACGCAGATTTCGGCTCAAATCGACGCTGTTGTGGTCTGCTGAGCACAGCTCTTTGATACTGCGCCAACGCGCTAGGGCAGCGAACAAGTGGCCTTCAAACAACGACTGACTGATACAAAAGCAGAGTACTTGGCCGTTGCGCCCACCGCAGATGCGTAACACGCGGCCAAAGAGTCGCAAGCGCGAATTACGTTGACAAAGCAAGTTCCACTCGCTCAAAGGCCGGCACTTCCGCAGACGCAGATCGGCCTCCTCGTCGCCGTAAGCCACGGTACTCGGAGTAGTGTCACGTTCCGGAAAAATCATTTGCTCAAAGGGAAGAGTGTGCTTAGACACCCACTGGCCAGTATCCGCGCTTGTTGACGCGCTGCCAGTTGTACCGTGACCGCTCGCATTTACGTGTTCACTTGGCGATGGCACTCCTGGTCCTGTCAGTTTTCTATTTGTTCCCTCTTGCTCACTGGTCGGCGACGCGGATGCACTACGTGCTGAAGGTGGGGGCAGTATACCACTAGTTTTAGTGTCTGTCTTATTTCCCTGTAGAAGTTCTTGTACCTCTAGTAGAGGTCGAGGTCCTCCACGTTGTTCACTCGCCTCTGCTTCCTGCCTCTCCTCACCCGACGAAGATGCAGCATCGCGAGGAAGGGAAGCCGCACTCGTTGTTGTCGAACCAGGTGGCGCAGCACCAGAAGTATTACCAGCACTGAGTTCCTTAACGGATGTGCCTTGAATAGTACTACTACTTGTCATGTGGATAGCACTTCTGCCCTGGGGACCACCAGCTCCTCCAGCTGCACCTGAGGAGGACCTATCAAGTGTGTTGGGAGGTATATTGCCGGTTGCTGTAGCTTTTGCTGTGCTTGTAGTGCTAGCTCCAGTTTTAATATGATTATTCGACGATCCTACAGAAGTCTTGTTGTCTTTTCGTTTGAGGAGTGGAAGCCGCTTCGGTTGCGCAGCTGTTTGATGTACCCGCTCGATATGGGTCCAGAATGCGGCTGGGGCCACGAGCGTCGGATTCAAATGCGTGACAGCCGAAGAACTCATCATACTACTATTACCAACACGTTCACGTTCTCCTAGTTGTTGCAGTTGGCTTCGGTATTTCGCTCTTTCCTGTGGCGTGATGGAGCTGCCTTTGCGCCACCGCTCGATGCCTAACATCTGATGTTTTAAAACCCTCGTCCCAGCCGTCTCCACCGGTACTCCGCTTGCGGCGACCGACGCAGGCGAAAAAAAGCGCTCTCTTGCGTTTACCACATCCGCCAGATACCTCTGCTGTCGGTCTTCGGGAATGAGGGTGATAAATTCTTCAGCCGACAGGCGCAGAGGAATGCGATAGGCATCGACTTCTCGACCGCTCTCATCCAGCTGCACGACCGCTTTCATAGGATCGCTGCCCAGGATGATGTCGTTTCCAGGTGTACTCCCCCCGCCACCTGCTGTGTTGCCACCCTTTGGCGCAGCACCTGCCAATGAATGCAGCATACCGAAATGAGACTCTACTCTAGAGGAACAAGAGGTGCTGGAACTTGTCGAGGTGCTAGCGTTGGCGTTCTTCAGCGTTGGAAGCTGGGCTCGGAACAATCGCTGACAGATGATAGACGCTACTGCGTCTCGTTTCTGGCTTATCGGGATCATGTCTGCTGCATCAGACTTATTAGAGCGTGTTAATTACCTCCTAGAAAATTTATCTTGAATGAACTGCTTACAATTACGGTAAGCCTTAATAGATTGCTGCAAAGTCGATTCTTGTAAGATGCGATCGAAGTGTTTGCCGAATGACGCTACGATCGGAAGTACGTACTCCGTTGGTACCATGAAAGCCAAATAGAACTCGACCGCGGGGCCTAGTTTGTGGCGTTCACACACCGACAGGATCGCTTGGTACAACTGCCCTAAGCTAATCACCGCATTACTCGCCTTGATGCGCCGCCTACTGGCAGCTCCACCGCAAGTCAGCTGCAACATCCACTGGCGCTCTTGGGCAGACAGACTATCTCGAATCCGCGATGTCTCATCGTGATCCATGTAGAAAAGCACGTGTAGCATCTCCTTGCAGTCCACTTCGGATATCAGCGTGTTGACGAAGTCAGAATCTACAGAAGTTGCGCTGCCTGACCCGAATCGTTCTCCATCTTAGAGCTCACCCTAATCGTCCATCTCCAAGTCCATCCTGAGACTGTTTTCCCCTTGAAAACGTCGCTACGATGCTTCCGAAGATGGATTAGGGGAAGTCGTAACGATAAAGCGCTAAGCGGTTCAATTGGTAGCCCACTGAGTCTGTCAGTGTGCGGCAATCTTTCCAATCAAAGCGCTCCCACTGTTGACGCGAACTTGTAATTCTAGTAGGAGAAACAGATCTTCCCGTGGAGGTCGGTCCAGACTCTACATTCCCACTAGAACCAGCACGCTCACGAGCAGGAAATCGCAACAGGTTCGGCTGGAAGTCGGGAAACTCAGCTTCAAGTTGTTCCTCCACAGTCGTTTGCTGCACCTTTAAGCCTTCATCCGGCGGAAAAAACATGTCAACAGTCTGAACTAAGTCCTCCAGAGTACTAGAGGATGAAAGGCCAACATTCTTGTTTTCATTTGGGTCTGGGTCTTGTTGTTGTTGTTGTTGTTCTACTTGTCGTTGTTGTTGTACTCCTAGTTCTTGCATATTAAGATCATCTAGTACATCTTCATTGTGGTGATCTAGTCCAGGAGCATTGTCATGATCTAGTCCTTGTTCTAGTCCTCGTGCTACTTGCTGTTCGGCTTCGGCGCCAAGCACAGTAGTTGTATTCTGCTCATCTAATCCTGTAATATGTTGAAGTTCCTGGTCCTGTTGCTCTCCTCCAAAGATGTTCCCTATGCTCCCATTGTTCTCCTCTCCTTCCTGTTGCATCCCAATTTAGAGTCTGCTAGATTGCATCCTGGTCCCCTCATCTTGACCACCCCTATCTTGCAACCCTTGTATCATTTCATTATAGGAATAATACAGGGAAACAATTTCATTAATAAAGAAATAATACAGGGAAACAAATAAAGAGGACCAAGATGCCGAGAAAGATGGACACGATCTAATCAAAATGTTGACCATAACCAATGTCGCCACTGCCATCCGCAGGAACATCTTCGGTCGTACCTCCCTCAAACAATGAGGAACTATCCGGCGCTCCAATGTCGCAAAAAAAATCCGCTGAAGGGTCCTCCTCACTACCGTTGATCTGGTCAGGATGATCAGCATTCTCCTCGTCATCTTGCTGCTGCGAAACTACTGCTCGGGGCTGCTCATTATTTTCCATTTGTGCCTGTTCCTGTTGCCACGCTTCGAAAAATTCCATATCACCAGCATCCATCAGCATTTCGCCTTCTATTAGAAGTAAGCGCCAGAAATGAGAAATCCATCCTCAGGGAGTATCTATCTTGATGTTGATCTCCATCTTCAGAACAATATATTCCCTTTATAATTTTAAGTACTTATAAATATTAAAAGGAGGTCGTACCAAGATGTTGTCAAGCCATTCTGGAAGAATGGACTTCTGGTGAATGCCAATGCCATATTTCTAAATTTCCCCCCGCGCCGTCCACACCGTTCATATCTTGATCCTGGCCGTCTGCTGCATCAAAAGGACTTGTTCCCACGATCCCATCAGCTAATGCAGTTAAGATGGCCTCCTCTTCACTCCGTGCAGCAGCACCCTCCTGCCCTTCCTCTGGGGAAAAGCCGCTCATCGCTTCGGAGCAAGCTTCTGTTTTCGCCAGGACGGAGAAAGAAGAAAAAGGTGGAAGAAGAGGCACTAGTAAATTTTTACTGCTTTTGAAACAGTGAACAATAGGAGACACTTGCAGAGATGACGAGAACAAGGAGAAGACCAGCTTATCGGAGTCGGTTAGTTATTTTTTCGATTTTTCGCAATGGAGAAGTGCAGATGTTGAAGAAGAAGCTTACAGTCTTAGCCAGCACTACGATCAGCGGTAATCCTCCTCTCGTTTAAGAACAAGAAGTCGTAATTTTTTCACTCGGCATTCGCGAATTCTTTTACCGGGAGAGAAGAAAGTGACTGAAGAAGTGACTGAAGAAGGATCTGATCGAGGCCACAGCGTACGAGTAGGTTGGCCTCAGCTTGAAGACAGCGCTTGAAGATGCTCATCTTTCAGAGAACATGTGTGAGGTTTCTTCAGAGAAGATCACTTTTAAAGCTTCTTGGAGCCAGCTACAGCAAAAAGAACTTTCCTAAGTACACTCAACAGTACATAGATAGAAAAGCCAAGAAGAGCCATCCACTACGAGCGAGTGAAGAGACAGGTGAGAACGACAACATTCACATAGAGCTTCAAAGCCTGCGTATTTGTGTAGATGATATGTGAATGTCGGTCCGTACCAGAAAAAAGGTTCAGTAATTTGAAAAGCCCATCAAAATTGAAAAATGAGTGAGTCTGAGGAGAAGTTGTTGCGTTTCTGTGAAGCTGCTTCTTGCGTAAGGAACTCCTCAGGAATGGAAATCATGGCCATCAACACAAGCAGCATTGAACAGAGTGAAAGGTATAGACCGTGACAAACATTTACTCTGCTGCAAGGCAAGTGCGTTCTAGTTACCGAGGCGAATCCCCTGGGGGCACAAGTCTCAGTGCAATTTTTCTCAATAGCGACTTCATCTCACGTATCAACTCTCTCAGAGTAGAGTGTCGCAACTTCGTTCAAATGAAGATGAAAGTACTTGTAAGTCTGCGGAAGATGGTATTCTGAATCTGAGACGAGTAAGACGGCATCTTCTAATATAGATATACTATAGGTAAAAAACCCTTCTGCAGCGTATGAGAAGGGGTGGGCGCAGAGAAGTCTTACATTTCACCACTCATCAACATAAAGCACGGAGGAAGAACATCCATTGATTTTCATTCATTGTTCCGTGTTTCCAGCCTCATGAAGATTGGTTGGACACGTGAGTAGCTGGACTCATCCAATAACAAGCCTTCAGCTTTTACATTCTTTTACTTCAGCTTGTCTTACATTCTTCGAAAACTTGAAAATTTGGAAAAAATAAGAGCGCCAAACGGCGGATAGGCTCAGTCACTGTCACAGTCTTCGTTCCGTACTTTTTTCTATACATCTGCAGCTGCCTTGAACTGCCGACAGGGAAAGGTGGAAGTGTACAACTCCTTGTGGTGCGGGATGAAATTGAAAAAACAATCCTGCTGCAGACCAAACACGACAAACAATGTCGTTCTCTACATCATCTACGTAATCATTTAACCAAATACAACATGCAAGAACAATTCTAGTCTGCCAGGCGACAGTCGCGATGCTAGGGTATGACAAAATCTTTTTTCTTTATTTCCCTCCAGACTCTGGAGTAGAGTCTCAAATGTTCGTTCCAACAGAAGAACGCATATCTTCAAGGAGATGCATAGGCAAATGTCGGTTGTCTTGGTGTCATGTCTGGACCTCCTCTAGCAGGAGTCTGACGGGAAAAAACGAAATTTACGTTACCACGACGGTCCGGACTTAGCGCTGGCGATTCGACGGTATTTCTGAATCCCTCTCCCCTACTGTTGACAGGGGTCTTGCTTTTTTGGAGACGTAGCAAGGGTTAGAAAGGAGGATGAATGATCAAAAATGCGAATCAATGGCGAAGAAAGATCGTGATCTGCAGTGTGGAAATCATCTAGTGAGAGAGTAGAGGGCGATCGCTATGATTTTTGAATGTAGAAAAGAGAAACGAAGAAGTGGCTGAAGATCTTCCTTCTACTTGCACTGTCACGTCGTCTCGTGGGTTTTTGTTATAGTTAGAGCTACCGCGCTCGCATCCCCGAGAACCTCCCTGGTCCCCTTTTCTCCTTGAAAAAAGGGCCAAGGATGACATTCAGGATATGGTCCAGCGGTAGCCTTAATATAGTAAGTAGATGAGCAGCCATAAAACACCAAGGCAGAGAGAATGACCATCAGATGGAGACCCAAACAGATAAGGTTCACGACCGCTAATGTTTGAACCGCGTAGACAAGCAGCGGGACAGCATAGCTGGAATGGCCAGGCGCAAAGCCGAGCCAGGCACCCCGATTGTTAGAAGATCTAACTTAGGAACTTAGGAGTCTTTTTCTAGTTTAACTACTATTCATCAGAAATTCAAATGGCAACTTACAACTTCAACTTTTTAGTATGATGTAGTATCCGGCACATAAATATATGCACCCCAGTACTCGCCAAGGCCGTTACGATCGCCACACTGCGAACTTCTATCCGCTGGGGTCTTAGTTTGAAATACACCTGCGTACCACAATCGATCGCAGTTACGAGGGCCCCAGCGTAGAGATAGGCCAGCATTTCCATGCAGATCTCTAACCTGAAAAAAAAGTAAGGATTGGTTTATACATGCTTAAGAACGAAGACCAGTCTTGAGCTTGAATGAGATGTTGAGTCCCCTTCCCCAACCAGTTCCCGAACAAACGGATTCTTCATGGAAACTAATTAATTTGTTACGAATTATCTACTGAACAAATTATAATACTCCTTGCTTCCGTTCGGCAGATGTCCTCGAGCAGGCTTCGGAGCTGTCGTAAAAGCTACGAACATGGAGAAAGCGCATAGCAGGATCGGAGGTATCAAAACCGCTATCAGCACTTTTCGATTGCGCCGACGACGCGCAGTTTCAGGCGACACCTCTGTTAATGCACTCTGATGTTTAGAAGGAGGTCCTCTAAAAAAAAGTCCGATAAAAAGCAATAGGAAGGACCTCTAGATTAATCGCAATCCTTCTAGTTCTCATCTCTGTCTATCACTTCTACCAGCCATACGCAGTGTCCTTGTTTCTCCCTCCGAATTATTGCTGCCCACTTCGAACATGGCCTCGATGTACTCCATCAAGTGTACTGCTGCGAGACAAAAACCTGCAACGAAGGCAAACACCAGGGCGATCAAGTGTTAGACCGATGTCCATGTTAATATTAAGTCTAACACCTGAAGATGATCTCCCTAGTGTTTAATAACTCCTTTCTTACTACCGATGTCCATGTTAATAAGTCCTCTACTCTTACTTTCAAAGTTTGAGAAACATCCTGAAACGACCTTCCCCCCCATAGGATGCTTCCGAAGATGGGAACCTTTTTTTCCCTTCAAAATGGTCTCAGGGTGCTTCCGGGAGTGGATCTGTGATGGATTTGTGGTGCTTAAATGTGGGACGCAGCACTTCGATCCTCTGAGTTCGGGATGGCAGGATGACGGGGGTACTCCTTCTTGAAGGCTTGATAGGCTTCGGAATTGGCCGCCGCAGAAGATTCGGGGATAGCCGCACCAGATTCGGGGATCGTCTGCCTTCCTACAACTGCAGCCGTAGATCCGGAACCCGACATACTGCCAGCGGTCTCACCTCCAAGCGGTGTAGCGACGGATATTGGTGGCGATTGTCTAGTATCGCGTCCTCTTGAGCTCCTTTTCGTTGTACCCCTTTTCGTTGCACCTAGAAGATCATGTGCGCTTGCAGTAGACACTGTCATTTTTTTGTTGATGGTCCTCTTGGTCGTCTCCGAAGTAGAAGATGTGCCCAGAAACGATTGTTGCGCCGAATGATCACGTATGTTGTCATTGTGGTTCGTGAAAACTTTCGCCTGTCTGGCTGCAACCACAAGAACCGCCAAGAAGTGCGCTACGGTCTTCAGCCGCAACATCCTTCCTGCTGCAAAGCCTCGTCGTAAGCGCCGCATCGCGACCGAGCGCCTCCCGCTGGTCGCGAGGCCGCACCAGTCTTTATTCAGTAGGGCCAAGACAGTTTTTTGAGATTTACAACACACATTTTTTTGAAATGGTCTACTAGGAACAGCACTGTGTCCTACCTTCTGAAGTCTGCGAATCTGAAGATCATGGTAGAACTCTTTCTCTTATTGGTATTAAGTTATACTTAAGTTATCCTCGTCTACCGAATCGGTTTTATTGTTTCACCTTTTTGTCTTCTAACACATTGCAGCCTTTTTTTCAATCAGAAGTCTTTCTCTTTTCTATTTCTTTTCTGCAGTTAGATGACAGAGGTCACTCGCTCCTCATGCTCACCGTCAAACACGCTTCTTCCCCGCCTCTGAGATTGATCCTCCTTTGGATGAGGATCTTTTCGTCATAAGATAACGTACTTATTCCGTAGATATGATATATCACGACAGGCGTTGTAGAAGCCAGTGCTGTCTCACGTCAGTTCATTATGTGTGGTAATCCCTCCCGTCTCTTCGCCATCTTCATGATCTTGATCTTCCATATCACGTTCGCGACTGAGGCTGATATCTTGTTCAACTATGAAGGGTGTAGTTCTGGTTTTTTTCTTCCATCTTTGTTGAACTTAAAGGACAATCCGGTTTCCCCTGTGGGATAGAAACTGTTTTCTGTGTGACATAAAGGAGCAGTCATCCCCTCAACAAGGACAGTCCTCCCCTCACCCCTATCGCACATGCACGCCTTTTCCTCCGCCGCTTCGGTGATACTCTTCTATTGCTAAATTGTGCAATACCTGGCGCTTCTCCAGCACAAGCTTCAACTTCTCGTAATGTCCCTTAGTCCGTCGACCAAACGGTGGCGGTCTTGGCGGTATCAGACCCGCCAGCGCCAGTATGTCGCTCACCGCTGGGCTCATCTGCGCTCCGACCCCTAACCAGAATTTTATCTGGTGTAGGAATTGATGGGATCCACATTACCTTCACCTTAATATCGAGGACCTTGCATGCGCTCTTTAGTCTAAGGATTGACTGATTGATTGATGTGCCTGGCAAGAGAAGTTTGAAAGAAACGATTTATGCATGCAGAAACGTTGTATGTCAGTAGGTGTCTTCAGATCATGTTTCCTTTTGTGACGGCAACATCCTTGACGCAAGAAGGTAGAACTTGCGCGTCTTCATAACACTCCCGTAAGCCTTAGAATTTAATTACGGGTCTTCTCAACAAAGTGACAATATATACCCTTGAAAACCGCAAGCGTATTTCTTTGACGTTTGTGAACACTTTCGGTGCATAACTGCCGAGAACCTCTATGTGTTTGCCGTTCCTAGGATCCCTGCGATTGCACGCGACCATCTTGAAAAAGGGCTGAGACGCCTGTCCACAGGTGTGGAATCGGATCACCGGTGGCCCGCGCTCCTTACTGTAGTATGGTAAGAACATCCGCCTTACCTGCGGAAAGGGCGAACAACGGAACATGGCTCTTGGAGGTAATGGTCGATGTGCGGAGGTGCTGGAAGTGGATGTGGAATTGTATGCTCGTGTTTATTAAAGCTCAGCACTCAGTGGCCACGACTGAGTCGGAACGGAAGAGACCCCCTTCAAAGCTCTCCCCTTTCCCTTCGTTTTCCCCTGTTCTCTCAAGGGGTCGCCTCTTCGATCTCAGTGACCAAACCCAATGACCATTGAAAGTTGAGCCTTAATGTTACATCACGAATACGAATTGCTGGAGACCACGGTGGCAACTACCGCTAGCAAAGCAGAAGATGACTGGTAATCTGGAATGCCCAGCGCTCGTTCGATCTTCTTGGTGCAAGCATCTTCAGAGGAAGCAGCGACCATCATAGTGGAAGGCCTTTCAACGACATCTGACGCTGGCAAAAACGTTCGAGACGCGGCATCATAGTGATCACGTTGGAAATCGAATTGGAAATGTCACCTACTTGATCTGAGTATTCTATTCAAATCAAATAGAAACATGGATCTTCTTGACTTTGACTTTTAGGTCAGCAAGCGGCACACCATTGTAACAGATTAGTCTACAACTAACGTGTATGTCTCTCCTTGCTGGTGCTGATTCAGGTTCACTCTACACAGTCCTCTCCGACACAGTAGTGAAAGAGCAGAAAGCTCGATTTACCTATAGAGCACCACTAAGAACCAATAGAGTTCAACTTCAACTAAAGACAAAGAAAGATCAAAGACAAAGAAAGATCGCACACAAACAGATAGTTACTGAAGGAGGTGCTGATAAAGACACTAGATAGTTGCGAATTCAGGTTCACTCTACGCAGTCTTGGACGTGCTCCTTCAGGTTCACTCTACACAGTCTACAGTGTCTCCGACACAGGATCATTCTTGCACAGTCTCTAAGAACAGTCATTGCGAATACCGCAATAAGCGTTTACTTCCGCTCTACAAGTTTAGGATTTTTTTCTTTCATTTTCACCCGATTTGTTATTTTCTAGGCGCGCAGTGAGTTTGTGCTAAGAAGTTTGTGTACATGCCCTTGAGTTCAACGCCTTCCCTTTTCAAGCAATGCCAATGTCACCTAATTACAGTCCCCTGCTAGTTGTATTGCTAAATGGTTTTCTATTTCCGCTTCAATCATACCGATACCCAATATTTTTGAGAACCAAGTATGGATCATGAATCGATCTCTTACTTCCCAGATGAAAAAACAAAACATGTATATACAGATTAATTCAGAAGTACACAGAGAATCAAGATGGTGGAGAAGGAGATCGTTATAAGTATTAGTATCAGTGCTAAGAGAGGAGGGGAGAACCTGGAGGAAAGAAGAACATGAGTAGTTTTGAATATCATTATAACTGGATGAAGCTAAACGTCTTCTATAGCTGCACGCACCACGTCTTGATGCGCAGAGAATCTAGTGGACAGGAACGCACTTATTTGTTTTGACTCCACAAAGTAAAACCAAAGCTCATCATTTGTGTACCTCGCTCTGCGTCTGCCCGGTTTTTCTCAGTAAGAAGATATAAGCGCCAAACAGATGAACGACTTCACCATCCTTTTAAAATATGTTGGCTCCACTTATAGTTCTACATGTACATCACTATGATAGATTCATCTTGAAGAGCATAGTAGAAGTATGTGATCAAAACAAGGTTGGGAAAAATCTAGCTCAAAGTCAAGACATCAAAAATTTAGGGTCTCGGGATTCCCTAGTAGTTCTCCAAAACATCATACACGATGAAGCCTCACGCACGGTCTCCCAATTTATCGGCTTCAACCTGATTGATTGTTACAGAGGTAAAAAGGGTGGGACAACTTAAACTTTCCTGTGGTTCTACTTGTCACTTTCTTTAGAACTACCAAGCCCTTGTTTTCTAAATCCGAATAAATAAAACAATGAAGAACATAGGATTGGTACCTTGTTATTTAGCTTGGTGAGGATTTGTCGACCCGCTGACTTGTAGTCAAAATCGCAACTATGCTCCTCTGGTAGCCGGTGCGCTGCACAAAACACGTAGCTACAACGGCATGCGATTCCTGTAGTAGGACAGTATTAGTAAGTATGTATCTAGGAGAGTGCCTGGTGGAGGAAGAGAAACTTGTAGTAAGTCATGTGTGGTCAGGAAAAAAAACTTGTAGTAACAAGATTTGAAATTGGTGCCATCGATCTATTCATAAATGCAAAAAACAATGAAAATGAATCTCCTTACAAAAGACCTAGAAAGCATAATGTATCCTATCAAAATGAGAGGGTTTGAATAAGATTATGGGCATATTACCTGTAAGTCCGACTTTTTTGGAGCATATCCAACACCGTGTTTTGTTCTCCTGCACTGGCCGCTCCTTCTCCTCTTCTTTGTCGCCTTCACCCTCCTTTACTTTTGCCTCCTCTTCCTTCTTCTCAGCTTCCTCTTGCTTCTTCAGTAGCTCCGCTTGGTCCTTTTCTTGCTTCTCTTTGAAGCATTTCGAACAATAGCTCTCGGTCTTGGGATTGCCCTGTTGTTTATTTGATTCAAATTCGGCGAGCTGCCTAAGATTTCCCTGTTGTGATTGTGAATTGTCATGGAGTTCTTGAACAATACTAGAGAGAGGTTTACATTTACTTAGTCAGGAGAATGAATTTGAATTTCTTAGTTGTTGGATGTTGGGTAAGAAAGTAGTTTCTAAGTACAAGTCGAAGTACCCAAAATCCACAATTTCCTAAGCATTTTGTCCGTTCTACTGCCTTCTCTGCCTCTTGCGGTTTACTTGCTGCTTCTGTGCTGGATGAACTTGCCGCTGCGGTACTAACTACGCCCTTGACTAAGAAGACTGTTGAGCCACTTACCACTTTCTTATCAGCCAGCACGTCATCGTCAGAAAGAACTTTACCTAGTAGAGTGGTTTTTAAAGTAGTGTTGAAACTACATCATTTAAGACAATTTTTTAGTCTGATCAGAAAATAATTATCTTGATGATAAAAATGAATGTGACATAAGCCTAGGCAGGTTGTCGTCAGGAAGCTAAGCGCAATAAAAGTAAATCTTTTAACATGACCATCTATATATCCACATAGACGAAATCGCAATCTTTCTTTCAATAAAATTTTGATCTTGCTTCATCCGTGTAGCTGTCGAACTAGAATGAAAGACTCAAGAAAAAATAGCACCTTTAAAAACGAGCTTCTGTTGTTCTGGCGGCATCTTGGTTTTTTCCGCTATTATCCTTTTCAAGTCTGAGGCTTTTAGAGTGTCGCTTGCTGGTCCCTCCACTGTCACTGGTCCACTCCCTGACACTTTCACCGTAAAGGTAACTTGCGGACCTGTCGCCACTGCCGCAACTGTGCCCGTCATGTCTGCTCCTCCTGATGACGTTGCAGGAGTTGTGCCATCAGCACTTGTTGAGGAGGTTGCTGCCCACTTCGTCGAAGAGGATGAGCTAGCAGCGCTACTGCCCGCAGCAGTTGTGACTAACTCTGCCGCGGTAGCGACTTCCTTCGGATCTGTCACCTCACCGGACATGATGTTGACTGTATCTATTCCCTCTAAAAATTATCTATGAAGTCGAGGATATATAGAAGAAGTATCGAACGAAGTCGTTCTTGAGGTTGAAGAGTTTATCAAGTAGTAGTTTCGATATTATATTGTTGACGCTATAAATCTCTTTGTACCCTATAACAGATATTCTGCAGAAGCGAAGTAACTCTGTCTAGGTTCTGCTTGTCGCGGCCGCTCGTCCGGTTAAAAACTTCACAAGAAAATGAACATCGAAGTAGTCATAGATAGAACAGCATGAAAGTTCAGGTTAGATGAAGAGTTCTCATTAAGCTCTGGTTCTTACACGTTTGTCGCTGTGATGGATGAAAACAAGGGTTCTACGAAATCTTCATGCTCAAAACTAGAAACAAGTTCTCAGGAAATCTCGTGATTCTTATTCATCTAAGAAAGCGCAGAGGACATTCATAGATTGACATTGATGAAGGAATTGCCTATTGGAATTGAAATTCAATATGGGTATTTTTAGATGATTCAGTATCAGTGGGCGAAGAAAAAGATCGCTGAATGAAGACTTCTGTGAACGAGCAACGAGCAACAAGAACACTTTGTCTATTACGTCGCTGCCGTTTTTTTGGGATCGTTATTTTTTGCGAGATTCTTAGTCACGAATATGAAGAAATGTAATCATGCAAGAACTTAACGAAGCGACTAGAGTTCTGTTAATTCCAAGGATTCACGAGTGAGGGCAGAGGTCGAAAGTTTTCGACGAGCAAGAACGAAAGGGTCATAAAGTACGAATTCTACTAAAAAACAGGAGATTTCTAGCTAATCATGGGAAATTATCTTTACCTACAGGGTGAACCCAGTAAGAAAATTGAAAGAGCATTAGAAAAAGCAAAACCTGAAGAAGATAGTTAGAGTTAACAAAAGCATGGATCGATTTCCGTAAACTTATATAAGGCAAGAACTACGCCCAATTCATTCTGAGTAGGCAGAGTGCGAAATCATTTCTCTCTAGCGCCGCGTTTAACTAAACCACTCTCAACTATCTCTCCAAGAAAACGAACTGAGACACCAGAAACACGCTAAGACAGAATCTTGATGGCATGAATCTCTAGACTGGCACAGACGTGATTGCTTCATTCCTTCGCTCCAAAAAACAAGAAGATTGCTGAAACTATAATAGAGGGCTCCATGATCGCTCATAGTAATTCTCAACCGTAGTACGTCGATGAACACATTCGCTTGCTGCTGTACCATCCTGATGGGTTATGAAGCCGTGTAAAAATCTTGCTCAATCTTGATAATACTTATGCAAAGTGCGTTTGTTGAAGGAGGCGTTTATACCCATGAAGTTGTTCTTCCTTGGTCTTGCACCCTATAATGATGATGATCTTCCCGTTTCTTTGAGAAGTACAAGCATAAGCAGGGTAACTAAATGTGAACAGCACATCAGACGTCCGTCTGGCCTTAAGCAAGAGCACGCGAAGTTGTGATATTCATAGGTGGTAGTGCTCCTCACTTCTTGCGACCGCCAGCCTTTGATCGTCGCTTGCTTCCGCCTTGCTTTTTGTTGCCTTTAACAACGCCCTTGTTGTCTGCGCGCTCCTTCGATGCTTGCATCATGCCGCTTCCCTTTTTACTGGAGATGATGTCACGACCGGGGCCCGTAACCTTGTCGAATGTCTTCAATACTGCATCGCGTTCGGTTTTTTTATCGTTTCCCCCTACGAGCTTTTTCTTTCCACCTCGTTTCTTCACAAGCTCTTCCCCCTTTTTTCGCTTATCAAACTTCCCCCTCGATCCGGAACTTACCTGCGCACGCTTCAGAGCCTCGGACAAGCCCTCCTTGCCACGTTTCGAGTTCGCGCCAACTTTGGTGTCACCTGTTTAAATTTTTTGAAAGGAAGGTGTGTGAGAAGTATTATATACTATAATTTTTTTATTGTTGGGAACAGGTTGTTGGTTGTAAGCAAAAAAATGTAATTCGAAGATTGTATCACATCATAAATGATGAATGAAATGAAATTGCATGTATTACATCATAAAAACAAAGAAATTGAAATAGTACAAACACAAGTTACTTCTCACCTCCACTAGTACTAAAGAAGTATTATAATAGGTATGATGTATAGTTATAAATACCTGTCTTCTCCAGCTGTGCCGGTGCGAGTTTGAAACCGGCTTGCTCGACCTTATTGCGCATTTCCCTAAGCTTCTGTTTGGCCACCACAAGTTTTTTTTCTGCCTTTTGCTTCTTAAATGGGTCTTCGGTCGCGTCGGCGCCCTCCTTCACCTCAATACACCACTGGGCCTTCTCTGCATTCTGCTTGGCGCTCTTGTATCTGTTTTAGTTGTCGTGGACACGGAGTTTACAACGTTATTTTTCAGGAGAAGGAAGCTCAGCATTACATTAGAACCAATGGCAATCCATCTTCAGCAGCATCTTGGGTCTCCTTTTCCCTTTAAAAACGGGACCAAGATGACAGTGAAGATGGATTGCTTGTAAGTACTTACCCTTAATACACGTCATGCTCATGGTATCGAAAATCGTTCTTGTGGTACCTATGCTATCCAAGAAAAAGAATATCACCTACGAAGACTAAGCGTTCTTTGATGAAAACTTAGACTTCTGTTTGATTGTTCTCATAATTAGAGTCTCAACTTGTTAAGTATTACATTATGCTCTAAAGAGTGGTTATAGTTTCCAAGAAGAGTGATCAGCGTACCCGTATCTTCTGCTCCATCCACCTGTTGTTTCGTCGAAAACAAGCTTGCTCTTCTTCCTCTTGTGGATGTTACGTTCCTTAGCGAATTTCTCCCACCTGGTCATCTCCTTCTTGCTGGGGCACGGCTTCTGTCGCGGCAGGCGAAAGGCGTCTTCATTAGAACTAGGAGAAATCCATCTTCAGCAGCATCTTGGACCTGCTTTCCCCCTGAAAAACGGTCTCAGGATGCCTGCTGTGAAGATGCATTTATTGTACTTAGCCTTAACTTTAGGGCTGTCGTAGTGGCCACGCAGGATGCCGATAGTGCCTGTTTCTGCAGATTCCTGGGGTAACGAAGTGAAAACCTTGTTCATTAGCAGTTGAACGTTGTCGCGCGTGTGCGAGAGCAAGTGAGTCTGAAACTTCTTGCCCAAATGGGCGGCTACTTTGCCATTGGTACTAGTGGTCGCAAACTCCTCCAGTGGTGTCAGGTCGAAAGCAGTCAAGTCGCTGAGATTGTAGCTCAAGTTGTCCTCCTTCTCCGCTGGGATAGCTGGCAACAAATTACGGACGATCGGAGCTGAAGCGGTCGTGGTCACCACTACTACTGGTGCGTTTTGTTTGTTACTCGGCTTTTCTCCCTTGTTTGATGCCTCGGCTTTTGGCGCAGTCGCTGCAGGTGCACTCTTCACATCCTCAGTTGCAGAAGAAGTGACAAGAGGCTTCTCTTCAGCGGTTGCACCAGCAACGTCAACAGCTGGCTTCTTCTCGACCAGAGCAGTAGTGCTGGTAACCTCCTTCGCTTTTTGCGGACTGGCAGTCATTTTCGCAACCAAATTGAAGAGGACTACGAACTTCTAGGAACTAACCAAGAAGATGATATGTAAAAAGAGCTTGAAATACAACACGTCGTAAGTCGTCCTTCTACTTAAAAATGACTTCGACAATATCCACGATATCGTCCTGGTGATCGGCAATAACTATTATGTAAATTGATGCAAAAAAGACGGGCATCTACATGTTAGCGGATCGATTGTGTTGCGAGAGCTTGAAGATCCTTTTTCACCGAGATCAACATAGATCCTTGAGCGGAACATGCAGATCGAGAAGAGGAACGGTCACTAAGATGATCTTCACGTTTTTTGTAACCTGCTCAAAGGGATTTTCGTTCCCATCTTCATCGGAGAGATTCCTGTACTGTGTTTCGAATAACACTATTCCAGATCATCACGCCAGAGCAGATTGAACTCAAACAGTTGGCTGATCTTGGCGTTTAGCAAACTGCTTTCGCCGCAGAACTAGAACGAAAAGATGAATAACTGTTCTTGTAAGTGTGTTAAAAGAAGATCAAAATTCGTTTTCTCTTAGTTCAGGTCAACAAAATTGAGATCCAAGGGAGGGGAAGGATCGATCATGAGTTTAGGCACTGGGATACAGTGAGTTTTGCAGTCTGATTTGTCAGCAAGAGATGAGAGTCAAAGTCATCAACTTGTTCTTCTTTCCCAAATGACAAGTTTTTGTAGTAGGTGTCATCGGTGAAAATGAGTATTCGATTGTCGTGTAGGATTCTTAGTGTCATGGTCATTATAGATAGCCGTCGTGTGAGCCCAAGAAAGTAGAATTGTTCGTCACGTACTGGTGGTGCATCGTCTAACTCGAGCGCCGAATAATTCTTAGGAACTCTTCCTCTGATACTAGACCATCCCCGTCTCGATCCGCCTCCTTGATCATTTCTAAGAGCTCCTCGTCTGACATCGTTTCACCTGGGTTGACGGTGAGAGCAGGAAAACGAGGTACGATGTTGTTGATTGTCGATTTTTGTAGCATCCTACTTATACAAATACCTTACCCTTAGACTTAGCTATTTTCAACAACATCTTCCAATTGATTACAAGGCGGAAAGAGCAGTCTAACTAAGACATCTTCTGAAATTAATTGTCTATCAAAATTTAAGAAGTAGTACCTAGTTCCTTCGCCACCGCTTTCAGATCTTCGAGTGAGATCTTGTTCGAATCGCCCTTGAAAAGCAAAAAGGCCTTTGCAATTTGCGCCTTCGTGTCCCTTTCGCTCATTTTTGTCGTCATCGCGGCAATAAACTCGTTAAAATCTAGCTTCTTTGAGGCAGCTGTAAGATTTGGGTTCGTTCTTGGTCGTATTGGAAGTTACTTGTTTGTAGTTTCTTCTAGTTTTAGCAGGTCGGGAGGGAAGTGCTAAAAACTGAAGAAAAAAGTAAGTGCTGTGTACAAGGGACTTGGACTTGGTTAATAGGAGACATTCGATTATGGTTATACTGAGTGGGTACTCAATCTCAAGAGCAAATGAACCATAGATAAAGATAAGTACCACCCTCATCTCCGCCGTCGAAGCCTGATATTAGCTTTTTGATCTCTTCTTTCCTTGGCTCAAAACCTGTAATGGTTGTTCAATTGCAATGCGAAAAATTATGAGTCCGCACTGTAGAAATCTGGTATGACAAACAGAAAGTCGGTTATTCCAATCTAGGTTAGGTTAGGTTATGGATCCTGCACAACGAGTCCCACCGGCACCTGCTCGCCTCTAGAACTAGAAATCAAATAAATAGTAGTAGCAGTAGTAGTGTACCCAATCGTGGGGTATGAGTGATTTTTAATTCGAAACTGTAGATGAAATCTGGTATGACAAACAGAAGATCGGTTATTCCAGTCTAGACCTAGAAATCAAATTTAAACACACTTATATTAAATCCAAAAAGTTATACCTAGCGCTCTGAGTGCGACTTTGAGCTCTTTTGCATCGATCGTTCCTGAACCGTCTGTGTCGAAAAGATCGAAGGCTTCTTTTAACTCGCTTTTCTGTTCCTCTGAGAGAGAGAAGTCACGCGCGACCCTCTTTTTTGAGACTGCACCCTTGCCGCCCCGCGTTTTATTGCGCGAAGGGGACGACATTCTTTTACTCGAAACTAGTCGTGCTGAGGGAGTACGCTCTCTCCTTCTCTGCTAGTACAGTCCGTGCAGTTTGTGACAGCGCTCTCTCCTTCTCTGCTGCAAGTAGTACAGTACGTGCAGTTTGTGACAGTCGTATAGGAGAGAAGACTTGATACTTATTATCAACGTGGGAGGCAAGGTTACAACAAGCCGGAAGAAAGGATGAAATTCGTTTCCTGGTAAAGCATCCTTTTCTTATTTACGAATTTCGATTGAACTGAGAATTGTTTCTGGGAGGACAACAGTGTGGTGGGGTGGAGTGATGATACTATCAAGAATCGTCAAAGACGATTCTTAGTAGTAAATCATGGGGACGTAGACGACTTGTTCTTGTCCCTCGAGTGTTGCTAGAAGTACTTCTCCGAGTCGTGCCCGCATGTTCATCACTCAAGAACTCTGACGCTCTGACTCTCACACTTCCCGATACTGCTACCTAAATTTTTACCACATTGCGGTTGCAAATGCAACAAGTGGATAAGTATATAGCTTTTGTTGTAAGTACGACATCTACAACAAAGAATTAGTTCATTGTGGTTATCAGAAAAATTCATCGTTACATCATGTCGTTACATAAGTAACACCTTTCTGGGAAAGACACCTTGTCAATCTGAATTTTGTCACCCCCTCGTATGAAAAAGAGTGGCATTCCCTGTCCTCCTTGGCGCCACAGGAATCGAACCCTGGCTGTTTCGCTGATCCCTGCCGAGCCTTCCGCTTGGTCGACCATTCCCTATAGCACTTCCTCCAGACGACAGCAGACCTCCTCCTCCATAGCTGTGCAAATAGGAATCTAGGCCACTCCCTTGTCCACTTGTGCTAGTTGTATTAGAGGTAAATTCATCTTGAATGAGTGATTGTGTGGAGCAAATTATCTTGATGTGAGTTCGTTTCAATGATTGAATGATCTCTTGAAAAAAAGTATATATAATTACGAAAATGTTCGAGGAGAAACTGGCCCACGATAGAACAATAATGCCTTGCAACAAACTGGATCAAAAATTCTGATCAAGATCATGGAGATTGACAGAGACACATTTTCGCCTTAACATTAGGCTCTACTCCCTCTGCAATACTTCCACTAGCTCCGAAGCGATCTGCGAAATACTTTCTAGCACTATTTAGTATCGTATCTTCGTCACGTGTCCGAGCGGAAGGCATATACTCACCACCAGGCCCTCTCGTTCCGCTCAAAGGATTCGTGAAGTAGCCTGATTAATATTGTGGTTTGCTTCATTTAGTAGACGTAGAAGTAGCTAGTATCTAGTAAAAAAATCACAATGAATGAATCAGTTCATTTACTTCATGGTATAAAGCGTCACAAGTACTACAACGACAAGAACTACAACTTTCAACAAACACACAATTACTGTTTCCTCCGCGACTTCCCCATTGATTCCAGCCTCTGCCTGACATGATTTCTGGTGCATCTGGGTCGTATCTACTTCGTGGCACAGCCCCTGCCGAACCACCAAACTGTGAATTGCCGCGATAGTTGTAGTTCTGACCTGGTCCCCCGTAGGTGTAGGAAGAGCCAGAGCCGCCTAAAGAGCTAGATCCTCCAGCATAGGACGACGAAGCTCCGGAAAATCTACCACCTGCCGCTGGTTGATGAAAAATTTCGATTTCGTGATCGTCAATGAGACATCGCTCATTGCAGCATTTCTGCCGCATTCGCCAGCAGTGTTGAAAAAAAACCGACATTCTTGGAATGCAGTAGAGTTCGTTTTCGTAACCCTTGTTCTATAAGTAAAAGTAATATCTATGTATAAATTTTACAAAAATGCATATGCTATGCAATCTGACAGGAGCTCCACTTTCCTCTCCGCAACAGCGCGCCGAAGATGCTACTATCTTCGAGACAAACACAGTGGAACTAGAAAAGTGAAATGATTTCTACTCGGTATGTTTGCTTTTCTAAAACGTGAGACCAAAGAATTTCATTACATGTGTGAGAAATCAAGACGAGACATTGACATGTGCGTCGTTTTTAGCACTAATTACTGAGGGGAAAGTAGTCATTGCGGGACGGGAAATCAGGGCGCTCTCGATGTTTTAATCGTGCTCGCATGTCTTGAAGCATTGTCTCTCGAAGACCTTCGTTTCCTTGTGTGTCAGAATCTGGAGCTGCAGTTCCAATAGTACCGATGTTCATTGACCAGAAGTACAAACAGAAGTTTCATAATCCACCAGAAGTACCAACAGAAGTTTCAGCTGGTGGCTAAGTGTAAAATACTAATTCACATAACGCCGACGCAACTCTCCCGTCAGGGGATCCGACTGACATTTCTATTATAGTATTTGCGCCACAGCCACATCGATATCACAATTTGAACATACGCGAGTGAACCACGAACACGATGTGGAGTCATATGAAACTGTTGCTGATATGGAACTGGCATGATTTATGATAAGAGATAACCTCCAAAGTAGCGTCATAATGAGCGAACTACGCAAGTCAATGGCGTCGACCAACATGGCTACTTAACATCGAAGCAACAAGCCTCATCGCTCAAAGCAACAGACACTTGACCTCCGCGATGAAGTACCAGTACGCGCTTTGGCAGAACGGTCGTGACCTATGGCACTACTAGTAGGGTCATACTCTCCAAAACACTCAAAGAAATCCCGCACTTCCGTATGTGTTGGAACAAAAGCTGTTGCTGTCTTTTCATCAAGAACCGTCCCTTCAACATCAGCATTCCTGCCATCGCCACCGCCTTTTTCCAGGATAGCCAACAGTTCTCTGCAATCTGCCCGTATTGCCTCTCGTTGCAAAGAACGGCGGAGAAAGATTCCACAGGGACTAGAATGCTTGATTGGCTGAAAGTGTCGCAGATCAGCCTTGTCCCATCTGATTGGATCACCATCTTCGTCGATTTGCAGACCCCGCTCAGCATAAAACCTCTGCCTAGCTTCAGCTCCAGAATGACCGGGTAAAGGAATGCTTACCTGTACTAGACAATTGTTTTTTATGCGTACCTGTACTGACTGTCAGATATGAACTAGTTGTACCAAGCCCTTTGCGCATCATCCAACCAGTCTATATCATCTCCCCCATGCCCATCAACTATAACATGATGAAAGAAAAGAACGCAAATCAAACTAAGTCAAATAAGAAGCCAAAAAAAACATGTCTCACGGGTCGTTCCTCCGCCGATCTATCAAAAAGCGACGATGCAAGCGGCAATCTATTCGACGAGGTCCTCGTCCCCACGTGTTCCGGCGAATTGCCGCCACTGCCACTCGTCGTAGGAGTTGTTTCAGGACTGTTTTTTCCGAGATCGTCACGATCGTCTCCTGGCATTGCATTGTCGTACTGAATCGCCTTGATGCGATCGAACAAAGGCATGATGGCTGGAGCGTAAAAAGGACTTCTGCCGAAAAGAAGACAATATAACGTCACACCTGCTGCCCAACTGTCCTGCTGCGACGCGCTAAATTCCTCGTAAATTAGAAGTATTTAAGCGGTGTGGTCGCATCCTTGATCTTCAGGTTCAAAGAATCTTGATACAAAGAAATGCAATACTTCTAGTCTTAAAGTGGAAGCGTCGGTCATCTCTGGAGAAAAAAACTGGTACGTCCCTTCGGTTTCCCGGATCCGATGCCTCGAGGGGTCGTCCCCGTTCGACATAGAGTCCAAGCTCAAGGCCCGACCAAAATCGCACAAAACGGAGAAATGAAGAAGGACTTTTAAATTTAAACTCTTATATTATAGACTATATGACAACTTTCCACCTATTGCGTCTTCTACTGTACGAAAACTCTTCATCATGATACATACGTCTTTAGTAGTTTTTCTCAACTGACTCTGAAGTAGACTGGTAGAACAGGTTTAAGAGTGTTCTTTCGTACCCCTTTCCAGTGACGTGGTTAATCAACAGATTATGCGGCTTCACGTCTCGATGCGCCATTCTTTTTTCGTGGTGGAGGTAATTCAAGGCTCGCAACAGGTCTATAACCAGCCTCCTGGCGACCCTTTCTGGGTAGTAATGATGCGTCGGGAGAAGTGACGAGGCATGACCTGATCGTTCTCTACCTGATCGAGGATCGCTTGCACTTCCTGCTCCTTGTGATCGATCTTGAACACTTCTGCAGCTGTAGGATCCGAAGCCACGCTTTTTCAAAGCTGGTATAAACCAGCTGTTGTAGGATGGACTGTCCTCATCCTCCTCGACGTCCTCCATCGCTGAGCCTAGACCGTGGTAATCCAGAACTAGGTAGAGCTTTTGCTTTTGCGCACAACGCATGACGTCTAAAAGGCGGACGATGTTAGGATGACTCCAAATTAGAAGGATTCGAAAAAAAAACTGCCCATTGATTCGGAAAGAAAAAGGCCCCAGGCGTGGTTTCCCCTTGTTTTTTCTTCCTTTTCCCCTGTTCTCGCAAGGGTAAAGGATCGTGATGGAGAATGACCATGAGGGTTGACCACGAGAAGTCCTTTGACCGGAGTCTAACTGATGGAGCAGTAGGGAAAATAAGTTAGGAGGGTAGATGTAGGGTCTTCAGGATGGAGCTCACGCAAAGAATATAACAGCGAATGCATGCAGTTGTCCCTGTTGCCATCGTTCATGATGACCGCAGAGACGTGGTCTGACAGTATTTCTACGTTTGACCCTTAACCGAAGGCGGCGCAGAGCCACAATCTCCTCTTCGACGGCGTCCAAGGCCGTCCGCATTACTCTGCGACCACTTCCTGTTGTGATCACTCGATCCCGCTTTCGCCGCAAAACAGTCTCTCGGAACACCTTGATGGCAACATCTGTTGACATTAGAGCAGGAGGATTACAATTTTTGGTTTTGCAGCGCTAATCTTGTTTATGCTTAAACTAGCATAGTCAAGCGGCCCCATGCTCAACCTACAGAAAAGAGCAGACTTAAGTCGTCGAGCCTTAACTTGATGTCAAACTCAGGATCCATGTCAGGATCACCCTGAGCAGACGTGATTATGCCAGGTGGGGACGTAGTCGAACAAACCGGAGGACCAGCAGGTGTAGTCGAATAAACCGGAGGACCCGGCGAAGTGTTTCCACACGCCGTCGAGCTAGAGGCGACACCATTGCCAGTGGCTACGACCTTATTTTTACCTGCAAGAGAAGTTATAGGACTAGTTAGTGGCTGCGCTATTATTGCATTCTTCAGAACGTCCTTGACTTCTGCTCTATTGGGAAACGAGGGAGTCAAGAATGAGAGTGCAGATGAATGCAATTCGAAAACCCTTAAACTAAGACTAGGACCACTTGTTGTACCAGATGAGCTACTGGATAGAAGATTTGACGGACCATTGCCAGAAACACTGAATGGACGCGTCAATCTTTCAGCTCGTTTTACGACGCCAAACGTGCCACGGCCGAGTTCGCTGCTACACGAGAGCCCTATGGGACCACCATCCTCGGCGTCTCTCCGCCGATCTTCGACTATTCTGTACTCATTGATGATCTTCACGAGTCCTCCAGAAGTGGGACTTGGCGTTTTTTCCTTCTTGTAGACAGGTCGGATCGGACAAGGACCACCATCATCACTTTCCATCTGCACTGCAATCGGAAGGGCTGTTGCTCTACTCGTCATCGTTTTTGCTGACTCAACATGAATTAATATGATTTATTTCGGACGATGAAACAGGAAAGCCTGCTGGTCAGGAGCATAAGTACAAAACTACTTCGACAAAAGATAGAACTACAGAGACGCCAACCTGTGGCCTCATGTCCGATCACTAACCTCTACCATCCTAAGGCAAGGATAGTGTTTTGAGTTAGTCTTAGTCAAGCCTGGTAAAACGGTGCTTGACTACTTGATCTTGGAGGAGAGCCCCTCTCTACTCTTCTAAACTTTCAGAACTTGCAGCACTTGGAACGAAGGATCTACTGAAAAAAGATTGCCATTGCGATTGCGCAAACAGTATCCGTCTAAGATGTGTCAGTTTTCCCCAAACGTCGTTTTCTAGATCGTCTGACTTCCTCCAAAAGCGATTTGTCCTGCGAACGCTGTGCTTCTTGCCTTCACAGGTAGAAGCTTGCTCTTGCGCTATGCTAATCATGTTTTAAAATGATATAAGTACAACTATTTTTTTTATTCTTATAGGTGTTTTGTGTTCTTTGTACTATTCTTGAAAGTCTAAGTTTTATGTGCTGGAGGGGTTGGAAGGGTCTGCGTGGGGTCTACTTTTTGTCGTTGGCTGCCTCGAATCAGACGTAAGCACTGACTTGTTTCACTAGAAGAAGTCGCGGTCAAAAAATGATGGAAATGCTAGACACGAATGCCGAGAGTGGGAGGGTGAGAATGTTAAGGGCCATTCACAGTGATTCTATTCTACTATGTTTACGATCTGCCACATGGATGAAATCATAACGGAGCTAGGCTCTTGACATTGTTCTTGATGATTGATTTCCAAGTCAATAGAAATAGGCACAGGCGATCATACATAGACGAGCATACACAATGGGTTATCTCTGTAATACGTTCCGCCAAAACGCGCGACTTTTCTGTAGCTACACTCTTCTGGATTTGTTAGGCAGTTCATACTCCTTGGTCTGCTCCTTCATTCGGGACAGCGTCTGGCCCCCCGTCTTCGCCTTTTGCATTGTCTGCGCCCTATTCTTCATTCTCTGAATCCGGACCAAAGTCGAACGCCCCGAGCCTGGGACGCCCGATCAAATTGTCAGCGGCTCCCCTAAGACGGGGCAGCTCTTTATCAAGCCAACTGAAGTAGTTGACCAGTAAGCTTGGATCGACGAAGTTCAACAATTTCGGCTCTTCTGTCAATTTCTGCAGAAAACCAAAATAGTCGCTCACAGAGCTTCTGCGATTCTCGAAGAGGCGCAGCTCTGCGAGGTCGCTCGCGCGAATCTGGGCGTCCATGGCTTTCACCAAGCGCTTCGTATCTAGGCGGTCAGCAGCTTTAGTGTCTGTGCTGGTGCGGAAGTTACACGACAAAACTAACGCCACCTGCTCACCGGCGAATGTCGGAAACGCTTCCCGATTGCGCACCAGAATCGCCGCTAGATAGTAGAGGCACTCCGCATAGCCGTCCGCGTCGAACAAATCGCGCCCCAGCGCCTCCTCCCAATCCATGATGCTGAACATGTTACCAATCAGATCTCGCAAATCCATAACAGAAGAGTGAATCACTTCCTTTCTCGTTTCCTCTGGCCAGCAGTATATGGTTTTCAAAAGGCTCAGCCAGTCGAAGTCATAGAAAAGAAAGGCCTCGCGGATTTCCAGATTACGTGGTGGAACCGGTATTCTAAAGGCTAAAGGCTGCACCGTCTTGAGATACAACAGCTGGAGCTTTTTCTGAATGAGATCCGCCCAGAACTCATGCTTCGGATAAAGGTTCCACTCCTCCTCTCCGAGGACAGGCATGCAACCAAGATCGCTATCGATCCAACGAGCATCTGCTCGACAAAAGTTCCACTCAAGAGACCGTCGCGCATGTTGTTCGAAGCTGTCCCGCAGGTGATTGCCCTGTAAGTCCAACTGGTCCAGAGAGTTCAGGTCCAGGAGTGCTCCCAAGTCCAGGGGCCTCCCGTTCCGAGGGTTTTCTTCCTGCGAAAGGACTCGGGCGACGCTCTCCCTGACTATTTCGTCGAGGCATGGGTGACGTGGAGGAACTAATTTCCAGTCTATGGCTGGGTCAACAATATATTTTTCAACTATATATAAAATTTTTACCTTTTGACTTAAAACCCCCTTTGAAGTGCGCAATATCTAGAGGCGAATAGAGGCTATCTAGTCTTAGGGCTGTCACTAGCTAGTTAAACTAGATAGTTAACTTAGGTAGATTGAGGCTGGCCCAAGAAGAGGAGCCAGCATTTTGGAGGCAGCGTCGGTGCGTTTGGAGCTGGACGAAGAGGCTGGTAGAAGGGATTTTTCGAAAGGGTCGTCGCTGGCTTTGGGTCGGAACAGGCTGAACCCTGGCCACCACATCGCGTGTATCTAGGTCTCAGCGCAGCAAATCCGGCGCGGCATCCTGAAGATGAAGGCTGAGCACATGAGGACCACACAAGAAGGAAAAACGTCGGAACTCTATGGAGATACGCTTCGGCGTCATAATATTTGAACTTGCTTTCTCTGAATCATCGGGAACCTTTCAGACTGCTGGGGTGTTTGGCCTACTTTTCTAGTGGGGCTAGAACTAACACAGAGAGCGCAAGGCCCGCCATACGAATGCGATGACGATGCAAGCGCACCGGGCGGAGAAGCGACGACTTCTATCGGCTTCAACAACTTATATCCACGAGGGATTAGAGAGAGAGAGCATGCTGAGGGACAGGAGAGCTAAGGGGACGAGAGAAGTTTCTAGTAGTAGCATTAAGATGAAAAAAGCAAAAGGCAAAATGAAACTAGCTTACGAATAAAGGAAAAAAGGCCATCAACAAAATGCACTATGTTTCCTTGTGTTGTTGTTTAGTCTAATAGGCTCACTTGTGTGAATCCCGAGCCAGTTCATCCTTATTAATTGAGTTGGGAAGTCTACAAGCATTTCCAAGGACAAAAATGCCGTCCACTAAGAAGGGTGAACCTCTAGGGAGGGCCGAGTGGAAGAAGGACACGCGCAAGCTGACGCTGAACGAGTTGCGCAGTCGCAGCGAGCTTATGCACGAGCGCATCAGCGAGCTCCGCGCTTTTGAGACTGGATACTGTCCTCTGACGCAGCTCCAGAGCGCGAGCTTCCAAAAGATTTCGAGTATTTATCTACTTGGAATCTACTTGGTGATGGTAGTTCTTTCCCTTATCGATGTGCTTTGAGTAGGATAGAAGTCTTTGCGTCATCTTCTGTTCATCTCGCTCGACTTGCTTCCTGGTGCAGTTTCGATCTTGCTAGCATGAGTCTAATCATCTACTTCTCCTCTACCACGAACCCGGTTCCACCTCCTATCCCCCCCTGGTTCTTCGCTTTATTACTCATAACACCACCTTGCTCAGCGATCGGGCAGATCACTTTGGCGGAGATCGTGACTCTGATCGCGTGCGTCTGCCAGATGAGCCAGGTCGCAGCTTCCCAACGCATCGCTCACGAGTGCATGCACAAATATTGGCTGGATGCCATTGGTGTCGGAGATGGTGTCTTGGTGCAGCAGTGTGCCCGCGATGGACACTTCTCGCTGCGTACGTTGGGGTATTGGTTATCCAATCAAATCCCCTTGCTCAAGCTGCAAGCTGCGTGCCAGGCTTTGCCTGACATGGCGACCTGCTTGCAGAAAGTCCTTCAAGCTGAAGGGGCGAAGCAGATCCAGAAACTCGCGACGGCCCAGGGTGCCACGCCGGGCACTTTCAGCATGCAGCTGGCTGCACTTTTTTGATTTTTTAGAGTTCTGAAGTATAGTCTTGCTTCTATTGAAGATGGAAGCTCTTTAAAACTATTCGAACATCAAGTCACGATCTCCCTATCCTCTCTGCTCCTTGAGACTACAGCTACCCACTTAAAACAGCAGCTTCCTCCTCCGCCTGCTGCTAACCTGCCTGCTTTGATGAACGCTCCGGCTCCCGTCGTTGCTGGTCCGCCTGGTCCTAGCAGCAGCACTGATCATCCAAGACAGGCTATGCCGCTGCCGCCGCCTGCTGCGTCCGCTGTCGCGCCGGAAAACAAGAACTCCGATGGTGAGCCTCTCGTCCGCGGCAAAAAGGAGGCGAAGCCAAAGGGGAAGGCTCAGCCGAAAAAGAAGGCCACGGCTGTGAAGAAAGACTAAGGAGGAAGCTCGACGTGGTGAATCTAAGGAAGAGACGAATAACAAGGAGTCTCGGGGTGATGGTTCTAATTAAATAGAACAAGAAGGCGCGAAGCTGCGTCTTTCTATCGTTTAGGGTCTGAATATTTCGTCTTGTTTCTTCATGTCTTGCGATAGTACTCGTTTCATGTTTTAGCTTGATGATGCTACTCGATTACCAGCAAGAAGATGCTTAAAAAGTAAAAACTTACTGGCGTTCGTCTCGTCCTTATCTTAGGTCTTTTTGTTTCTCCTTTGATGTTGATCTGATAGACCTTAAGCATGAGAGCACTGAAGACCACCGCTTCTATTTGGAGGCTTGCCTCCTTGTGATCGTTTCCTTTGAGGATCGATCGCACACCCTCAAGCAAAAGCCATAAGATTCTCGTGCTATTTTAGAAGCTGGACTGGCCATCGCTTCGGCAGCAGCCCCCCCGGTAACTCGTATCAATCTCGCAGGGTGTCCGCGTTTTAGAGAGTGAAAGAAGATGACAGCTGAAAACGCAACTACTAAAGAAGAAGCTGGAGTCGTCTATCTGTGCAGTTGAGTCACGGCGATCAGCTCTTTATTTACAACATGCCTGGCAAGTAGCTGAAAAGGGTGCAACTGAGGAGACTACTCGGAGAAGGCCAGTCTGTAAGTTGAGCCACCTTAAGAAAAATGCCGGCGCAGCAGGGAGACAACCACGGAGGTGGCAGCGCTCTAATTGCAGCTGATAACAACGGTCGCCGACCACGGTACCGGAATGCTCGCAGTACGGCCTGGGGCTCTCATTTTCGAGATGATCGAACAGGTCAACTCGCGTTCTATCTGAGGAGCCTCTTCGCTGCATATGGTACGAACTGCGATAAGAAACTCAAGGGGCTCCATCATGAAATCTCTCGGAAGCACAGTTGCGCTGTGCCGCCTTTCAAAACGCAGGGAAGCGCCAGGCAGTTGGTGCCCCACTTATGAGAGACGGCTATCTTGTGTCTCCTTTTGCTGTTTCTCCACATCTCCAGTATGGCTGTAGTTGACCTGCAACATCTATGAACTACAGATGAAACCTCTTGGCTACTGCACTTCGATTGATCTCGTTTGCAATATGATTCCCTCTCCCAACAAAACACACCGCCTGCCCCTCCCCACCGTTGGCTTGTTGGACTCCTCCACGATGCTCACGCTCATTCTCGACAGTGTGCTGCGTTAGCCTATCAGAAGGGGGAGCTAGGTGACGCTTCTTGGGCCAATATCATCGCGACGCGCAAGTTTAGGCACCTGATCGAGAGCGTCAGCTTCCTGAACTGCCACGCTGTAGCCTATGAGGTAGAGCAGTTTTGTGAAGCCGAGCAGATGCGAGCGATCGCCCGAGACCCCGCAACGCAACGAATGAGAGAGCAGGCGCTTTCTATGTTCTTCCTTCGATGATTCTAGAGGAGGCCCAGACTGAAGATGTTGGCGTAGTAGGGACTCCATCGGGGCGAGGAAGTGCTTCGCTTTCACTTACTTTTAAAGGGTCACCCACCATTTTGGAAGTGTTTCCTCATCGACGTTTGATCTATTCTCTATCCTTGCCTTATAATTAACTCGCCCCAGGCTCTGGCGATACGCCAAATCTGTCGAACGATGACCAGCCTGCGCTTGATGACTCGATCAACTTCAGACCCGGCTGGAGTTCTGATTGGCAAGGCTTATACGATTCCGATTGGATCCAACTCCAACAACTTCGTGCTCGTGTATGACTATTCCTCCGCGCGGAAGAGTCATACATTTGGGATGAATGTAAGGAAGACGTCTCTAAGGTTTCTACTTGGGTCAAGACTGAGACACGGCGAGGAATTGGATCATTCGACTGGTAGACTATTCGGAGGACGATTCTCATCTATTTCTTTCTATTTCTTCTGATTTGGTTACTTGCAGCTAGATCTACAGCTCCTGCGTTTTCACTCCCCTCCCACAAAGTCACAGCGTCCCCTTCTAGTTCTGCTGGGTGGACGACGTTGCTTTGCCAGAAGGGGACACAACCTACGAGGAGTTGTATATGTGGCCGATGCCCCTTGCTGCGGCCAGGAAGAACTGCCTCACAGCACGACAGAACAAAGACGCAGCAGTCTGCTCGGCGTGTGCGTTTCTCCATTTTGCCTCGGCGGTATTTGGTTCGAAATATGTCGAAAAGCAACTACGTGGCAGGGACATGAAGTGCCGGGATGTCGATTCTGGTCCACTGGAAGATGATACTACTGACTGCAGCCTGCACATTTTACCGGGCCAGGGCTCGAGCGAGAGCAGATTTGTCCAGTTGATGACGACGGTCTTCCCTGCGGCTTACCGCAGTGGTATAGACCGCCGCTTTTCGAACGACTGCAAGAATCTATCGCCTGCAGCTCATGAACTCAGCGGAGGATGGAGGAGCTTTTTGGTCGGACCCAAAGGGTCCAAAGAAAACCAAGGCAACTTTAGCAAAGCGCTCAAATCGCTGCAGTCGCAGGCCAGCACAGCTGAGCAGATTGATCGGCCTTATACGGGTGACGTTATTCGTGAAGCTGGATTGGATACTCTGAAGGAGGCGATGGCTGAGCGTACTTATCCATTGTTCTTGCTCCTTTATGACGTTGTGCTTGTAGTTTGATGCTGGAACTTGCTGCAGATGGGCTCGTCTCCTTTCTTAGCCAGAGCTTTCTTCTTGAAATCGTTCAGGTTGTCACGGTTTTCCTCTTCAGGCCTCTCCTTCTGGAAGGGGTTCTGACCCTCTGCTTTTGAGCTCCAAACTTCGCTAGCCACCACTAGTGGATGGAAGTGGCTATTTATTTTGTCAGGTATATATGCCCCCCCTCTGACCCCTACCCCTTTTGTTTCATCTTCGCCAGGTGTTAACTTGTTCCATGGTACTAACGCTCGACTCTTTCGAGATACCACGGGCAGCCAGGCGCTATTGCAGCAGAAGTACAAGATTTTGTATACCTTGGCGGCGATGGATCCGCTTGCGCCATGTCCTGCGCAGGCTCGTCGAGGTCGGCCTCAGAACAACCAAGAAGAGCAAGCAGGTGGCCAAAATGCTCTGCACATCGACACAGAAGATGACGAGACGGAGAACAAGAAGAAGCTCCTCTGTGCGCATCCGCCTGACATGAAAAAACTACTAGAACAAACTTCGGACGTGGATCTACGGGCGCAGGTTGACGCTTCGGCTGGTCGCTACGATTTGTCTTTGATGCTCGAGTCGCTGAATACGACGAACGCACAAGAACCAGCACTAGCAACTGAGAAACTTCTTGAAAGTGGTCGCCGTTTTTTGGATCTTGATCTTGCTCCGTCCACTCGTCTAACAGCTCCAGATGTGCAGGACTACCTAGGTGCGAGGCGTCTCGACCACTGGAAGTCGTTGTTTGCTGGAGCTTTTGCGGTTTCACACCGGTCGGATCAGCATTGTAGAGCAGCACTCAAATTAGCCGGGAACATCATCAGCAACTACATGGCAGACTTTGCCGACCCACAACCTGGGCTGTGGGAAAGCTTGGCGATGGAGCGTCTTGCGTTGCCCGTTGAAGCACTTCCTCGCGTCGAGAACTGTTGCTCCTTCTTGTTGTCGTTGAATTGCAAGCGGATGACGCGAGCGCATGAAGAACAGCGTGACGAGATGATAGCCAACAATGTCTACCGCACTCTTCGCTCTTTTCCGATTACGGAGAAAGATATCGAGGCGCGATGGAAAGAACGTCGCATCCAGGATAAGACTCACTGTTCAGCAGAACAGTCTGGAGCGTCGAAGGCCTGCCAGCAGCAGCGTCGCAGTCATAAGCGCTATCCGAAGCCGCTCGGGCATGTGAACAATCCCCGCCCAATGCTCTTGCCAGACGAGTTAGAGGAGTTGGCAGCGGCTGTTGCTGCTGCGAACGGAACTCCCGACGAACTACGACAGCGGGTGAGTCATCGCGTGAGCCTCCAGCAAGTGGACAAAGAGAGCATCTCGGCGTGGCAGACTGACTTCTTCAAGGACATGAAGGACTCAATCGAGTACATCACAGACGATCCTCTTCGACGTTTGCCAGTGGGGCTTCGTGAGGTGATCAACTTGATGCGAGATGAGCGCGCGAGCGCTTTCAAGCCGGAGCGTCTGGGGTTCAGAGCTGCTGAGATCTGGCACATCATACAGAGCCCAGATCTGAAGACTGCAGAGGAGCTGAAGGCGAAGGTCTCGATGTCCAAGCTGCTCGGAGAGAAGAAACTGATCCAGCAGAGAGTCGACTTGTACGGTTTTTGCGTCCTTCGGATCAATTCGCGCTGGATCGCGATTCGCCGCTACTTCAGCGGCTGGGTCGGTGGTGTGTATCTTGGTCCTCGCAATGGAAACGCAGCGTTCTGGCCAACAGGTGAGGACAGTGCCGAGGTGGTGACTGGCCTACTTCATGAATTCGACTTGTGCGAAGGATCTCTCCAGACCGCTCGCTCTGCTGCAGGAACCTCCGTCGTCTTGACGCAGCCAGGACTCTGGATCACGGCACGAGGCGCCTACGCTTCTCGGTTCGATGCGCTGCGGTGGCGAAACAGAATCAGATCGCGCTGATGGGTCCAGTTTGTCGCGCGTGCGATCTTTCGGCTGAGGTGCTAGAGGATGTCCCATCGCATCATCTACGCAGCTTGTCGGAGCGGCACAAGAATGGAGCTCTAGATCCTCGGCTTGTTGATGTGCTTAAGCGCCGAGCAACTAAGACGCATGTAGTAGCCCAGAGCGCAGGTGCTCTGAAGGACGAGACCCAGATCGCTGCATCGAAGAAACGCAAGAAGCCAAAGGCAAAAGCCGCTGCGAGTAGCTCGTCTTCTGCTGCTCCAGTTCTTAAGAGGCCCAAGAATGGCAACGCCCTCACGCGTGAGGCTGCTAGGCTGCAGCTCGAGGCTTATTCGACCGCGCAAATGCCCAGCGTCGTCGTGGCACAAGTCAGATCGCATCGCAACGCACAAGGAAACAAGATCGATAGTCTCAGGGTCCACTGGCCTGGCAATGCGCGTCCTGCTATAGCTCCCGTTGCGCCTGAGATCGACGCGGTAGGCGATATCCGGGCTCGAATCAAGGCGGAGCTGTTTCCTCACATCGCGCAGGAGAATGGAGCTGATGTTGGAGAGTTGCAACTGAAGCAGCTGGGTGTAGCTCAGGCAGCTGCGATCTCTGACGATGAGGAGGAGGGACTATTGCTAGAGTTTGAAGATGACGCGGAAGATGTTTTTTGTTAGATGTCATAAGTGAACTTTGTAAATCAGTTTGCTACTCGATATTAATTACGGCAGACAAGCTACTAGAGTCGACACGAAAGCGCCCGAGGGCTATTATCAGATATTTTTCGCAGAGGCTCGGGCGAGCCGTTGAACGTAAGAACTCGCATCATAAAAGTGACCGATATCATAGAGGTAGCTAATTCTTTCCCATTGGTTTTGTCATCGAATTAAGTCCAGTCTGGTCGTGTCTTTTTAAGTTGTGCTTCGCTCTCCATATTACCATGAGAGCCACAGAATCCCCACCAGCCTCATCACTTAGAAAATATACTTACATAATTGAATTCATCTAGTCAGAGACTCGGCCGATGATTGAGGTCATGCTATTTAAGCGCCATAAGCTTACTTGAAGCGTAAGACGAGCCCCCATCCCTAGTTTTGTTCCTGTCTTATGATGTTGCTTTAAGTTGTTTTCTGTTCTTGTAGTAGTATGCTTGTATTTGTGCAGACTGTTGCAGAGTTCGAGTTGAAGGGCCCCACTTGAGTAAGGTAGTTGTTCTTGAAGTGTGACGAATCAAATGAAAGTCGTTCCCTTATGGGTTTCCTTATTGGATAGCGCACGTTTCTGCTGGAGAATCATAGACCTGGCCTGTTGTAAAACCGCTGCCGAATGATGCATCTTGCTCCTCTAGAATCTTGCCAAGTTCTTGGCCACAACTTGAGTTGGCTTGTCGATAGTAGTCTTCTAGTCCTCCGCTGCGTGGGCGTAGTACACCTGGCGCATCTGGGTACAGTGTCAGCGTCGACTTCCCCGGGCGCTTGGTGGTGAATGATGTGGAGATGATATATAAAGTAGCCACCACTTGGAGGAGCGTAACTTGAGGCCTTGAGTGGACTCGGTATGAGAGCACACAAAACGGAGAAGCTTGAGAGATCGCGCTTAGTACCCAAGCAAATCACTCCGGAGAAAGCCCGCAGAGTCAAGCTCTTCAAATGGTATAAGGGCGCTGCCGTGTAAGTTGAGTCCATTGGTGTCCGCAAGATCTGAACGCGCGTGGAGCAGTAGAAAATCGGCTTCGTCGTGGCCATAGGTGCCCCCAGTAGATCTGTTTTGTAAATGGGGACCAAGATACTTAGGGCCTTCAGCTCGTCTCTGTGCTGCTTCTATTTGAATACAGCAGCCATAAAGCAACATGATACCGTCGCAAAAGCACCCGCGACGAGGCTGCTCTTCCTTCGTGCTTGCGTATGGTCAGGACTTTCTCCTGAGCGCGATACTGTCGGCCCGGCAGGTTCTTCCATCGAAGGTAGCCGTCTACTGCATGGAATTCGCGCTCGGCTGCAAGGTATTGCAGCCCCGTGTTCTGGATCGCACGAATGAAGCTAGTGCGAGCAGAGTTCTCGACGAGGTTGGCGCGGCAGGTGGCTAGTCCTTGGTTTGCAATATCCAGGCTCACTCCCAAACCGGTGCGGAATATTCGACGCAGCTCCACGACGAGGCCCTGGCGATTGAAGTCGTAAGCGTGATAATTGACGTCGAGCGTCTCGTAGTCGTGCGACCGGTGAACTGGGTGGCAGAAAGTGAGGTCTTCTGCAGAAGAGCGCACTCCTAGCAACAGGCACCCACGGAGTTGCTCTTTGTGATTGTGAAGGACCCGCTTGATTTTTCTGCACCAGGCTGCAGTCCGTTTTCTTGTGCCTTTAAGTTGAATTGGCAACCATCTCGCCCCGTCAGACGCTCCAGAATCATGAAAGTTTTCTTTAGGTCTAACGAAGAGGTCTGCACTGAGTTCATGGCCGCGCATGTATCTAAATGATTGATCAATGTGCTCACAAAAGACATCGAGACACTCGGCCTCAGTTTGTTTGTCGAGGTAAGTGGCCCGCTTCTAGTCTGTAGAGAAGAAAAATCTGAAAGAGTGGCCAACAAATCCTGTGAGAAAGTGGGAGCTCAATCGAATGAGAATGGTTAGCCATAGCTTGGACCTCCTGAGAGCAATCGCAAGAAGCAAGTCGCAAGTTCTTCCATTGAGTTCGCTCGTCATCGTTGATCTTCCAGGCTCGATCTTCGTGGTCTTTGTTCAGGGATCCCCTTGTTAGATCTTGTCTCAGTCGAATCTCTATAATTCTACTTGGTTTCTCATCCATTTCCCCTCATAATCCAACACTTAGAACAGAGGACCACCTGAGAGAGTGGGCTAGAGCTTTTCAAGCTAGTCTTAGCTTGAATTAGACAGAATCAGCGTAATGGCCTCTCGTTGCTTCGCGGAGCGTTCCGACCCAAAGCCAGCGACGAACAAGCTGAAAGATCCCAGTCCACCTCCTTTTCCTCCAGCTCCAGACCCCCGCTTCTGCTGTCCAAATCTGGCTCGCTTCGTCGGGCCACCCTCCTTATCTCCTTATTTAACTATCTAGTTTAACTAGCTAGTGACAGCCCTTAGACTATAAGCCTCTTATCGCCTCTAGATGTCGCCTATTCTAAGTGGGGACTATAGTGAAAAGGTAAAAATTTTATATGTATCCGAGAAATATAGTGTTGACCTCGCCATACAGTCCTTATGTTTTTTACTCGCATATACCATCTCATCAAACAGGCGCCCATCTCCGGTCATTATCATGGATGCCCACACAAGGTTCCGCTGTCGGGAATCCACACACCGGACGTCACGCGAAACATCTCGAAGACTGCGTACGAAATGCCCCGGCTTGTCGAACCCATGACAGCACACACCCGGTCTCGGCTCCCACTTTTCATCGTGCAATCTATGAAAGAGGCAAGAACAGAATCGCTTTTCTACCCGTAACGAACCAGACATAAAAAACGCGCTATCCGGAGGATTCTGCTAAAGGTAGAGGACCGCTATTCCAAAAGTTTCACAGTAGGGAGCAGGCACACGAAGCGGAAGTCTAGCTACTTATAAGTTACTTAGTTACCTCACCATGCATAAGAATCTTGCCGATATCCCTGCTTGTAAAGGTAACGCCATCGAGATCGAAAGCAAACTATGACAGGAAAATCATCTTTACTCGTCCTCCCCCTCCGAAAAGTCTATCCTCTGTCGTCTACTTCTTGGACCTGGGAGACTGGTCTCTGAACATGAGTAAAAGTTTTCCTGTCTTCATAAAGTCCCCTGCGCCCCATGGACCCAGTCTACGGTTCGGAACAAAAAACTCATGGTCCGGCTTTTTTTCGCTAATATACAGACACGCCTCGAACCCCAAGGCGTTTAGCTCCCCTGCAGACAACAGCCTGAAAATTAGCGCAAGTATTTATCATTCTTGCTCGTGCTGGCGAATCCAGTGATCCACACGTGATGAAGGACCTAGATCCGGATCCTATAGAAGATAAATTTAGGCCACACACCAGGCATTAATCCTGTTCTTGCCGTAAGAGTAGCAGTATACAATTCTCCTCGGCTTCCTCCAATCGACCAGGAAACTCCAGCGCCCCATACTTGGCTGCGCCAAACCTCTCGACCTTCTTCAGATGCAAAAAAGCGTCGCGCGCAAGCTTCATTGCCAGACTTGGCTTGTGGTATGCAGGCTCATGCTCATCGGCCAAGTCTATTATCTTTCTGATTTCGACCTCATGCATTAGACTTTTCAGCAAGTTGAAAGGCTGGGCCACGCCGTTAGCGCGTTTGATGTGCGCCATTTTCCGCGATGCTGGTCGTGATTCTTGCCCGAGTTGCTTTCCTGCCTCCCCAGTAGGGGCTGAGGAAGTAGTTGCTGTTAAGGGTTCTTGTACTAGAGTCGCCGACGATGGGGCTGAGGAAGCAGTTCCTGTAGTTGAGGGTTCTTGTACTAGAGTCGCCGGCGATGGGGCTGAGGAAGCAGTTCCTGTAGTTGAGGGTTCTTGTACTAGAGTCGCCGGCGATGGGGCTGAGGAAGCAGTTCCTGTAGTTGAGGGTTCTTGTACTAGAGTCGCCGGCGATGGGGATGATTCTGATGTTGTATCGTTGTTCGGCGCAAATGCTGCTGCCGTGTCTGCGCCTAAAGCTGTTTCGTGACCGGCCGATGCAACGGCTCCAGTTGCTCCGCCCATTGGCGCAGCAAGGACGCCATCACTTTCAGCCGCCTTATCGGGCATCATCTTTGTGTTTTCCATCTATTTCTATGAACAGTTAATAGTATTTCCTAAATAGGTATAATTGGAGTCCTTATATATTAAGAAGCTTACTCGCAAGAAAGAGTGACTGCGTTCGCTATCGTTGTATTAGTATGCACAATGTCTTTGCGTAGGTCGCGCATGCTCGAGGTTTTGAAAACCGACAAGAAAAACCATATCCAGCAGTATACGACGAGAGTGACGGTGGACAGATAATCACTGGAGGAGGTGTCATCTGCAGATGTGAGTATGGAGACGCACGCTCAAAGCTTGTTGCGCCAACGCAGGATCTGTAGAATACTGATTATCTTCAGTCGTGGTTTTCCTTGGACAACTATGATGCACACAGCCACCGTCCACCATTTCGATTTAGAGGGGTTATCTGCTGCTACGCTGCACACCCAAAAGCGGCAAAGGAACACATGAATCAACATAGTCATAGAAGGCGCACTTCTGACTCCACAGAAGTACGAGGCACATCTGACCGAGAGTCCCCGCATTCTTCATCATGGGAAGATTAGTACGATGCACTAGTTCATTTCTTTCTCTGTATCTAAAGAAGGAAATTTGAAACCATAGTATTGCTGAAGTGAGTCTTCGTGCGACATAAAAATATCCTGCTTACTCTATCCATGGTACAGCTAGCGAGAGACTTCCATCCATGGCACAGTTAGCGTTGAATGATCCTGCTTACTCTATCCATGGTGCTCTATCCATGGTATGGGAGCTTGTGCGTGACCATGGATAGAGTTACTCTATCCATGGTATCCTGCTTACTCTATCCTAAACGTCTATCCTGCTTACTCTATCCATGGTACAGTTAGCGTTGATTGCGATCTATGAGTTTGACATCGAAATAGCCACCACGTGCATGCGCAATAAGATAACAAGATGCAAAAGAAACACAGACGAAAAACATTGAATCATGATTGATGATGCCGTGAGTGCCGTCACAGATGAAGTTGAGGGTTTGAAATTTTTAGTGAATAATTCCATCTATAATTAGTTCTCATTTTATGAGTGGTCGTTGTCATCCAGGAAAAGGAGGTTGATGTTCATCGAATAGTTAGTAGTAAGTCTTAGTTCATCAGAAGACGACTCACCGCTATTTCTGGTGCATGAGGCGTCCACTTGTCACTCCCTTCACCTATGCAACAACATTACAGCGCTGTACAGATATTAGTTGGTCTCTCTTTTGCCTGCGAGACCACGAGGCAGCAAATACATTTCTTACATACTCACTCTGAAAATACTACCTGACTCTATTTTTCATCTAGCAGTGGTTCGAATTCACCGATCATGTATCTTCTGACTAAACCTATTATGTTCTTGTTCGAAGCCTTTACTGCTATTCTTGGAAGGGTCTCGCATTTCACTCTTACTATCCAGTTGCTGAATTTGCGCGTCAATCGTGTAAGTGAAGAAAATTCAGAGCCTAGTAATTCTGTAAACTCGAGAGTCATAGTACACTGCGTTAGCTTCTATCGTTATGAGTTTTTATCTAGAACGTCTTACTTATAATGCTACATAGGAAGTGCCGACGCGTAATTTGGAAGTGCGTAGTTCTTTCAATCACGACACAGTAAAAAAAGTAGTTGATCTAAGTAAATCCTCTTGCAGCTGCAGGACAAAGGCAGCTGTAAGTCCAAAGTTCATGTCGTCTCTTATTGCCATCGGTGCTTCTGAATAGATGCTCCTTCTCTACTGAACCTCTAGTATCGCTAAAAAGATCTAGGATCTGTCATCGATACTCAAATCGTTTGTTGAATATCCTTGTTTCGTCGAAACTGAACCATCCTACCTTAAACTCAAATCAAATGTAAATCACGCATTAAAATCTTCACCTTTGGGCATTTTTTGTGTCAGTGTCTCACCGTCAACAACTAGATAAGATATAGTCCCTAAATATAGCCCTCGATTTGTGCCTCACCACCATCTTCCCCGTCGTCGTCCTGTATTAGACCTCTCCCCTAGTCCATCTCTACAGACATCCGTCAAGTATATGCGTCACCAGCACCAATCCATATTGCATTTGGGTGCATACTGTCCTTGAGGGATCGTCCCTATGGAAAAGATGGATTAGGGGGAGCCTTAACTGCACAGCGTTCCGGAGATCTCGGACGTATGACTGCCTTACGCTGAATTTCGATTCCATCTCCTCGTGTTGTCCCATTTTTTCTCGGTCTAGGTAAGATTGCCTAGTATGCGACCAATCGAGTGCATCCCGGTACTTCACGTAGTGCTCCAGCACTTCCTGCAAAAGGTCGCTTATCGCTCCAATTCACATTAGAGGACTGTAGCACTTCAACTTCGGTGGCGAGAAGTTGAATGTAAAGACTTAGTAAATAAGTACACGAAAGAGAACTAGTGACAGTCTCCTGTCACTGTTCACTGCTGATCTTGCTTCAAAATTAAATATCATCGGTACTCAACGTAATTGCAGTTTCAGATACTGCCATCACAAGAAGCCTGCAATTACTTATATATAATACGTCCTTGTGAAATATATGCCACAGCCACTACCTCACTGGTGATGGTAATCTTTCTCCTGTCAAGCAACAGTAGGTGGGACTTTTGCTTGGTTTAGGATAGGTTTTAAGTTGTGAATCCTGCACATCGAGCACCCCCGGCACCTCCTCGACTCAGAGGTTGATGGGTGACCTGTGTACTCAAGTCGAATCTGGTATCAAATAAAGATCGATTATATCCACCATTCTTAACAGGATTCCGGAAAAGATGAGGCCGACGAGACACTGGAAGTAGCACAACATGATTCCGTACCAAAATTCGAAATCTGGAGTCACCCATTCTCCCAGAAGAAAGAAAGTAACGCACATTAGAAAGTCACGATGAGGATTTCCGTATCATTTTGGAGAATAACCTACTGCTAGAATACATAGATATAGTACTAGGAAGGTTTGCGCGAGATAGAGAACGTTCCCTCGATATATTAACCTCCTGACAACTACAGAATGAAGGTGCAACACGACGACCACACTACAGAATGAAGGTGCAACACGACGACCACAGCTATTTAATCTTCCTCGACAGAGCAAGGTCTGCGCAAGAGGACTCCTTTGGGGAGTACAAGGTGACTTCCTTGTATTTTTGGAGAATAACCTCGTTGACATGATTGTATGAAAAAAAAGAGAAAAATGATGTTTCTCATGGAGATCTTCCCTATCCCTTGCATAGGTTAAGGCGATACTACTAAACCCTATAGTTTCATCACTACTAACCCTAGTATAGTTCTTGTACTTGAAGTCAAAATATCTTCAGAGAGCCGTAAGTACATCATGCTCGTCGGAATGCTATCGAATTGACCAGCTATGGCGCGCTCCGCTAGCCACCAGCAACCACCTAAGACGCACATCGTAAACAGCGTAAGGAGACCGCCACCCTAACTTAGAAGCAAAATCAAGGTAAGGCTAGGTAGTTATAGGTTATAGGTTAGGTTCTGGACCAAAATCAACAAAAGCTAAACCTACTTCTACAGGCTCTTTGGTGGTCTATTCCAGTAGTACAGCCCTAACTATACCACAGCAAATTTTTGAGTGTGTTTTTTCGAAGATGATCATTTACCTCCAGGACTAGAAGAGAGTACAACAAACGACAATTTTTTTACAGATTGAATCCTTGATAATTTCTTCTACAGTCAGTACCTCTACTTAGGAAGTACAACTAACCTCGAGGAAGTACAAGTACAACTACGCAGAAGAAGATTGGTCTTATCATATTACAAGCTGACAAAATAATTCTCTCTTCTAGTACCTCGTCTAGAAAGAACAACTAGTACCTCTACTTAGGAAGTACAACTATCGAAGTACAAGTACAACTACTGTAAATCAACAAACTATCGAAGTACAAGTACAACTACTGTAAATGAACATAATGCCAGCAGCAAGTAGAATGTTTCGTTGCCTCGCATGAAGCGCTCGATTCCTCGGAAATAAGCCGCGTTGACCACGTGGATGATGTTCAGGGCGAGTACGACATGATACAGTGGCTGCATCACTATACCATGCGCAGGACCCTCCACTCGCCGTCGAGAAATTAGAGGAGGATCTGGGTGACGGGTAGGATAGAAGAGGAAAGAATAGGGTAGGACAGAAGAGGATAGAGTAGGGTAGGACAGAAGAGGATAGAATAGGATAGCATATTAGGGTAGGATAGAAGAGGATAGAATAGGATAGAATAGGATAGAATAGGATAGAAGAGGATAGAATAGGATAGACTAGGATAGAATAGGATAGAAGAGGATAGAATAGGATAGCATATTAGGGTAGGATAGAAGAGGATAGAATAGGATAGAATAGGATAGAAGAGGATAGAATAGGATAGCATATTAGGGTAGGATAGAAGAGGATAGAAGAGGATAGACGAAGATAGAATTGCCTGTAGGGATACACCTAGGATATCATGAGGGCTGAACCCTGGACTAGACAAAAGCAGGACCTGGGCTAGCATTCTCCTAGCAGTGAAGGTGCGTTATGGTCATAAAGGAGGAAATAAAGGAGGATGAAGAGAACAAGCTATGTCATGTGTATGCCCCTGTTAGTGTCATTCCTAACACCCGTAGTTTTTTTTTTTTTTGCGTTAGGACTATATGCCGCCGCCCTTTCAATCAATTAGTCAACCTATATAAGCTCATCCAGGTTACATACTGGGAGCGCATAAAATCAAAGACACATTTACATACATCGATTACAACTGATGGATTGATTGATTGACTGATTGACTGATTGATTTGTTCCTCCGTTATCCAGCACCGCCGCTCGTTAGACGGCCGCATATAGTTGACTGATTGATTGATTGATTGATTGATATGCCCCCTGAGAAATAAAGGTAGATCATTTGGATGCCTGAGAAATAAAGGTAGAGAGAAATAAATCTAATTGATATGCCTGAGAACTGAGAAATAAATCTGTAGATTTATTTTTATTGGGAGAACTACTTTGAATCATATCATTTGGGAGAACTACTTCCAGTGCATATTTGGGAGAACTACTTCCAGTGCATAAATAAGCTCCAGATGCAAAGGGATCGGCGACGAGCGGAAAGTTTGATCGAGTGGCAAAGCCACCAGTCCCATAGATCCAGAAGAGGATCATCAGACAGAAATCCGTGACCCTCGCGAGGCGGGAAAACTCAGTTCTAATACTGAAATTCACAGACGGGTTCCCCGAAGCAGCCAAGTTGATTAGAAGCGCGTCAAGTATTGGCAAAAGTAGAATATTATTCAGGTTCGCATGGCATGGAGTGCATGGATCACATGGAGTAGCATGGAGCTAAAGGGGAAGCTTCTTGCGCCCCTTAAAGCTCTGCGCTCCATGCACTCCATGCTACTCCATGCACCATGCGTGCTATAAACTACTCTGGCTAGTAGTACTAGAGAGAAATACTTAATCAGATTAGGGGATAGAGAGACAACAACTCCACACGAATCAATGTAGTATCCAGAGAGAACGGAAAGCTACTGAATTCTAGCAGCAGCTGCAGCACCAGCCGAAGACGGTAACTCTAATTTTTCAGTGCATTCAATAAAATAGAATTATTGGTCTCAAAGTCAAAGACGTATGAATAAGAGTTGTGTACCAAGAGCTGTTGCTCCTGAGCTTGTTGTGGAAGGTGTTCAGGAGAGGAAGAACAGACAGAGATTGCTTCTTATTCATAACAGGTAAAAGAGGTACTCGACGAGGTAGATGACGTGGAAAAGGTACTCGATTAGGAGAGACCGAGCAGCTGCCGCCTCCACCTCTGGTAGTGGCACTTGGGGAGATGTTAGACTCTACTTTTCCTACTCCACAAAATTTATTATGGTCCGAGACTAGAGTTTTCCGCACTTCTTAATATTGTTAAAATGTCTCGTTACTCTACTCCATAACGACAACTTCGCGTCTTCTTGTTCTTCATCGTCCTCTGGCATGGAGGTGAAGGAAGACCCGCCAAGTGTTGCTGCTGCCGCCTCAACTCCAGTAGATCCTGCCGCCGCAAGGAACGACGGCTGCTGACTCCCGTGATTAGAGCTCTAAAAGTAAAAACTCATTCCGTATCTATAAGTTCATTTTAAGTATTTTCAAAGTCTCAACAAGAAGAAATCAGAAGATTCATTCACTGATTAGCATCCCCAATATATAGTATGTTTCTTCTCTAGAACGGATGACAAAATAATTTCTACAAAAAAAATCCAACATCGTACTTCTACTCAGAGGAAAGATTGATACCCATGATGTTCAAAATAAATTATTGTGAGCCCCTTCATATGTTGAGCTTGTGTCGGAACAATTTCCCCGTCTACAGTGATTTCGGCACCCACAAGGAACGAGCTACTAAAAGCCGACTTTTTGTCGTCCTCTTTCTTCGCTGCATTCTTCGCTGATTCCTTCTCGTCGCCGTCATCGTTGTCTTTTTTCGGCGGCCCCATCCTACCCCTAGGCTTCTTGCTGTCTCCATCTTCATCATCCCCACTTGCATTAGACAGAGGACTCAGGACATCACAAGTGAAAAGTCTACTTACAACACGACCGTGTCGCTCTATCTTTCACCCGGTGTCACTATGGTAGAAAGATTGTGATGAAGTCAACAAAAAGCCTCCTCAATTCTCATTTCTTACGTGAGTAGAATTAGAGGTAGGCTTTTGGTGCTCGCGTGCCCCGCTTGTTATGCCTTTCTCCCTTAGGACTGGGAGAGGCATAAAAAGCGGTGAGAAAAGCACCTTTAACCTATTACATTCTCGTTTCTTACGTAAGTAGAAGTACTTGTTAAATCTCTATCAAATCTCCATGATCATCTCCGTAACTTCTTTCGTTCTTTTCAGCTTGCCAGGGTCCTCGCTGACGCCTGCTAGGATGTACAGACTCATGTCGCAACTGAGGAAGAGACCGTCGATGGAGGTATAAGTGTGCATTAGACATCTGCAGAGAACAATCCATCATCTACAGAAGCATCTTTGCTGCTCCTTTCTCCTGTTATGCTAATGGACTGGTGACATTTTCCTTTCTCTCCTTATGTTGACAGTGTACTTGTCCTTATTCGAGCTAAGCTGTGCTTGTTTTGAGATCACAATGTGACTAATGCAGCTTCAAGATGCACTATCTGAAGATGGACCATTAGGGAAAGCCCTAAGTGCAGTGCCAACATGAGCATTTGGAACCAGTAGCCCATCTTGGACACGTATCTTGGTTGATCACCCACCATCGACAGAAAGAAGGTATTAGACGAGAGAGAAGGAAAAGGAGAATCTTCTGTACTGAAACACCAGAAGTTAGTCTGTGTTGCACTGAAGTATCTATGTGTTGCACGTGCACGTGCACTTGCAAGGAAGGAATTGAACCAAGAAAGCAAAAAGGGTCTAGTATCTTTTACATGTTAATAAGTATGCAAGAGTTACTACGTTTCTCTAGACGCATCGCTGAGTGTCGTAGGTTCATCAAGAATTAGAAATGGAATTTGTCCAGTACTACTTTCATTCACTGACTTCGATATCTAAAAAAAGTACTTACAACCTCGTCCATAAAATTCTGACCCGGATTTTGAGCTCGGGAGTAGGCACCACTTGTTCGCAGGGCACGGGCTACAGAAGTGCGTGGTCCTGGTTGCCAACTGCTGTCTTAAAGGTGGTCTTTTACTATCCCGAGTCGAGTGGGTTCCCCTTTAAATCAAGGAGGACTCCACTCAGCATACAGTTCACATGGGATAGTGATCGAATACCCTTAACTGTCATTGTAGTAGTCTGCGTCGTTATAATCGCCACCACTGTAGTCGTCGTCTGTGTTGTCATTGTAAAAGTGAAATCCCGGCAACCTCCTCGCGAGCGATCCAACAGCACGTGGGAGCAGCGGTCGCGACACAGCGAGCTTCTGTATTTGTTTTCGTGTTGTCCGCCTACCGGAGAATCCGAACTTTTTTGATGTTCCACTGCTTAGCTTAGACCTTACCCAAATTCATGCTGGAGAAAGCATCCTCGTGGTGCTTGGTCAATTTCCCTTGCATAAACTCTTCCAAGGTGCTTCTCAAGATGAATTAGGGCAAGCCTTAATCAGCCTCAACGTCGCAGGTTCAAGAGGAGAGTGAGCACTAACGAACCTCTGACGAGCTGCAGCTAGGAAATTGCGGACGTTGCGAGCCGAAGAACCTCCACCTCCACGCTTGTGCTTAACTCGAGTTTTCGTTCTGCCGGTGCCTCCAGTCGCAACTCTGTCCGCGGCAAGCCCGGGAGCTATTGTCGATTGCGTGATAAACCTATTCTGCCTGGTCCTCAACGTGGCTCCTGAGGACGCTATGCCTGTCCAAGTCGCTGCTTGGTGTTCCTTCCTCTTCACAAAAGAGGCACTACTGGTCTCCTCCGACGTACTGGTAGAACTGGATGGAGGATCTCCTAGCTGCGCTACTACTCGATCAAAAACTTCTTCAGTACTGGGTTGCGTCGTTGACGCGGCCGCGGCTCGTTCGGCGGCAGCTGCTGCGCGCCTTGTTTGCTCTGCCTCTTGTTGTTCAGCCTCACGCAGGTAACTGTTCAACGAAATCACGTCGTCGTCGTTCCTAGAAGAGGCGGGCGACCAGGTCACTCTCGAGATGGTTCCTGCCTGTTGCTGGCTGGCCTGTTGCAGTAGCGACGCCTGTTGTATTAGGGGGTGAAAGTTGGCGTCTCTAGCTCGCATATCTGTGGCTTTCCTACTTGAAGAAGACATAGAGACGCGCTCTTAGATGATAGGTCAACTCCCAAGCCTTAATTGTAGGGACTGACTCAGCTGCTCCCTTGACGAAGGTGCTCCTGCTTTGGACGATGACGCTCCTTGATGAAGACGACTGTTTGTTTCCCCTTTAGACCACGATTCTTTCTTTTCTCCTTTCCCTCCCACTTGTTGCCCACCGCCACTTCTAGACGAAGACGGTTCCTTCGGCTGCTCTCCAGGTGGTGGTGCGTAATGCTCCCCTTCCCCGTAGTCTTCGCCCTCCTGACCTTCCTCATCGCCACGATCCTCATCGCCATACTCTTCGCAATTTTAGAGGAAGGATCTGTGCGAACGCAGGATACAACGAAGAGGATATCAAGTGTATCACGTGAAAGCCACAAGTTTCTGAAAACCACAACACTGACAAAACCCTCTCGATACTGTGATGGAGGAGAGAAATCACTGATCCTAAAAATCAGTTCCGAAAGAGTCCTAGTTGCTCAACAAAGAGGATATACATTGATTGAAGACGTTGAAAACCACAAGTTTCTCAGCACTCTGTGCCTCTGTGAAGATATATCACAATCATAAGCTGGCTGCATCGCTGGGGCTTCCGTGAAGTCTCCGCGCTCTTCCCTTGCTGCTTGGTCCTGATATCTCTCATAGTATGCGCCGCAGTGTTTAGAGCTAACACATAATATAAATTGGCTTTTCAGTTCCAAACAGGAGAGAAGTAACTTGACAACCTTGAAAAGAAGAGCAATCTGATCAAAACCACTCTAACTGCATCCCTACTTTCAAATCAACAGAAGAAGAATAGCCAACATGAATCCAACAGTAATCAAGGACTGGCTTGGGGCCTTAATCCGTACGGCCGATCGCAGCTCGTTGAGCTCTTTGTACATTCGACTTCTACGCCAAGCATTCTGGATGAGCCGTGCAGCTGCTGTATAATCGTTGATTCGTATGATTAGACTTCGCCATATAATTGCATTCAGTTAGTTTATCAAAAAAAAATCTCTCACATGATCCTACTTTCTAGTAGACCATCATCGAACTATGATTTTGTAGTGTAGAGTACTCCATCTTCCCTGAACGAAACTAACTCAAAAAAACGCTTATCTAGAAGTGACAAGCTCAACGTAGCATGATCCTCCGCGCATGCTTCATCTCGTGCATGATCACTGCGGCAAAGAGGCCGGTAGGTGCACCCAGGGTTAGAGGTTGCAGAATTACATTCCTCGGAACATCCTTGGCCTTTTCCCTACTAGGAAAGTAGAGGTCAAGGATGATAGTGGAGGAACCCTTTTTATTGAAAACAACCTTAACAGGAAGCCGGTCATCAAGATCATCAGGGAGAAATGCAAGATTCTTGCAAGACTAGAATACTCGACCAAAGGATAGTCTCCAGTTGCGTGGATCGTCATGAACTGCAAACTCCCGACATAGGTCGTGTACCTACAGGAGGCGAAAAATTTCTTTAGCCCTACTACTCTACATTTTACCTCAAAGTCAAACCCTGTTTTACTCGTACCACTAAGATAGCCTATAAATGTGTAAGGATTTTTGAGATCACTCCTCTATTCATCCACAAACGCTGCAGCAGCCGGGAGGAGCCATCTTTTGTAGTGACATACAAGTTGCGCAAAATGTCAGACTTTTGGTGCTCGTTTATCGCGTTTGTTATGCCTCTCCCCCTTAGGAGAGCCATAACATCAAGCGGTAACAAAAGCACCTTGAACCTACCCTCTACATCACCTCAAACCCTGTCCTACGGGGGGTCGTACCACTAAGATAGCCTGTAAAATGTACTAATTACTACTAAGATAGCCTGTTGTATCTGTAAATAAATGTACTAATTACCTCGATCGCTTCGTGCCGTCATCTTCCACGTCGGTAGCTAACTCTGCGGAGTCGTATTCGCAGCAGTGCATGAGCCACGTGTAAATGACGAGGATGGAGAGGAAACCATAGAACGTCTGCAGCAGTTCGATGTAGTATTTCCGGAAGATCCGAATGATAATTCGCAATGCCGGAGTGTATCGGTCAAAATTAGAGCGGTAATATTGAGGCGGTAGCAGTAGTGGGGCTAGCTTTATTGTGGTTCTTCATCTTGTGACTTGAGAAGCGCATTTTCTGAGAAGAGCAAAGGCCCTCACTTTTATGAGAGAACGAGAAGTCCACCTAGTAGATGTCCACCTAGTCTCAAGACCTAGTCTAAGAATCAAACTAGTCTCGTTTAAGATTTCTGAGAAATTGCAACCTTAACTAGAAGGCACACAGACAGCATTCGCAAAGCAAGGCACCAGCTGACCCGAGTAATCATCCACTTACGGAGCTCCGGATTTTTTAGAGAGTTAAATTGATGGAGAGAACAGATTATCATTATTCCGGTAACAACCTACTGCTATTCCTATAGGAGGACAACTGATGTATTGCATGTTCTTGTAAAAATAACTGAGATAGATTCCATGTCGTGTTCGTGTATACTATAGTCTAAATATCAAAACTACACCTATAAAGGTCGAAGGACTCCATCATCTTCATGGCGGCGTCTCTGTGCTAATAGCAACCCTGTTCGGTCTCTTCCTAGGGATAAATACAAAATGGTGAAACAACAACGCTTCTGAAAAATGTCACGACCTTAAATTTTCATCGCTCGCTTCTTCGCCTTCGGGGATCGTGCTATGTGCAGCTGGCACGTAGAGTTCATACGGATCAAAATTTCGGGCAAGACCAACTTTGGCAGTTAACGGGTCGAAATACCAACTGACGTCTTCAGCTACGTGGATCCACGTGCTCATCAGCATGCCAATAAGGCCCAGTAAGTGCCCCACCCCAGCCGTAGTCCTGCAGTACCACAAAAATCCAGCAGACAGGGCACAAGAGTATGAAGGAGGAGCAGCCGTTTGCAGGAGGAAGAATATTTTAAAACTTTGAGTACCTACTTAAAAGAAGTAAGCGAGATACTGAACAAGGAAGACTAGCCTTGACGGTAGGCTACCTCCCGTATTTCAGTCAGCGACTCAGTTAAATTTTTAGTTTTCGAGTACAGACGCCTGCTGAGGCAACAACAGCACGCTGAGGGAACAACAGCACGATGAAGCAAGAGGGGAAACAAGAATAGGATCAACGACGGGATCATTCAGGATTTAAGGGGGACGTTTAACAGGGAGCTTCAGTCGGTCGTAAGAAGACCTATCCTTCGTATAAACATTCTTCTCCGTAAAAGTGCAAAGTCCACTAGAAGAACCAGCGTCGCAAGGACATCCAACACACTCAATGCCGTCGATGTATAGTACAACATGCTGTTATTTGTGGTGGGATTGCTCAGGTCAGTCTCGCCAAACGGGGTCGTAAGAAAACACGATTAGAACTGCCTTCATCGATCTACTTCTACTTGTACTTCCTCATGTTGTCTTTCCCACCTCCTGCACAGGGCTACTTAAACAAACTACCTTGTTCACCCTTACTTTACTACACTAGTGGCACATGATAGTGACTATGGTTGGTGTCTTCACCCTTTACTACACTAGTGGCACATAGTGACTATGGTGTCTTCACCCTCTACTACACTAGTGGTACATAGTGACTATGGTATCTTCATTCTCTACTACACGAGTGGTACATAGTGACTATGGTGTCTAGTCTAACTCCTACATTGAGGACTAATAAACTTTGAAGCAAAGAGAGCAATGCAGGAACATGAGCAAAGACTACGTTCTTCTTGTTTACGTTTGATCCACAAGCGATTAGTAATGCGTAAGAAAGTGCTTCCTTTAAGTACGTTTGAGTACTTAAGTGCTCAGGAGTGAGTGAGATACAATACAATACAATACAATACAATACAATACAATACAATTAATCTCGCTTTTTTTTTTTTTGTATCGTGAGCGAGTTCCGATAAGTCAAAACCTACCTGCGTATTTTGCAAGCGAGTTCCGATAAGTCAAAACCTGCCTACATATTTTCCGCGTAGCTACCGGCGTAGGGGGGAGTTCTTAATCTCCTTAACAACTACGCTACTGCCCCACAAAGTTCAGTGCAGACTGCCATAAGTGAACCAGTCATTTTCGTGCAGCTGTTCATTCAGGTCGTCCAACGCTTCTTCCTCCGTATAGGTGTCTAAGGTAGAGGTGACGTCCTCTGGCAGCCAAACCTGGAACATCCTACCCTTCATTAGGAGAGGCTTCCGCTACAGGTAAACAGGTATGCACGTGTCGTGTTTGTATCCCTCCCTAGTACGTATGCCTGTGTCCCGAGTACATAGTACCTAGTACAGGTAAACAGATGAGGACCCCATAAAAATTGACTTACCAATTATACCACGAGCGAGTCCATGCTGTAGGCGTATCTATGATTTATCTTCTTGAAGCAGTTTATGACTAAATATTGAGTTTAACTTTTCTTCTTCAAATCCTTCATGCCTTTGCCTCAACATCTTCAAACCTTCTATGCCTTTGCTTCTTTCTATTCTGTGCATTCTAAATAGGTTTGTTGCACCTACCGGCAGGATGAATCGATGTGACAAGACTCCACAAACAAGTGTTATGCTTCTTGCGCATGTGTTATAGGATATCATCTCCATCTCATACATAGGATATCATCTACTAGAAGTACAGTGTACTTTCCATTCCATTCCACTTTCCAAGAATTTTCTACTAGTAGTACACAATTGGAATTCCGTAACTCCAACTCGCCCATGCCGAGCTTGTCGTAGCCCTTCTCAACATCGGTGGACGTCGTGTCATCAGTCTTTGCTCGCAACTTAGACCCCCGACGTCGTTACAATACAACACAATTAACCTCGCTTTTTTTTTTGTAGTGCGAGCGAGTTCCGATAAATCAAAACCTACCTCGCACAAAGTTCAGTGCAGACTGAAAAAAAAAACATAACTTCAGGTGAGCGTCTCGCTTCGTCTCGCGACGTGATTGTCACACTGGTATGTTAGAGCTGTCCACCGTAAAAATTCATCTTTCAAGTACAATGCAATACAATACAATTTATCTCGCTTTTTTTTTTTGTAGTGCGAGCGAGTTCCGATAAGTCAGAACCTACCTGCGTATTTTGCGAGCAAAGTTCAGTGCAGACTGCCACAAGGGCGTCATAGATGATACACACGATGGATCTCACGCAAAGGTAAAGTTGTATGGGGAGGTCCTTTTCCCTTAGGTGGATGCTCCTCGTCCATGCATTTCATCAAGGACGCGCCCAAGGTTAGGTTAGGCTGGGATCTACCATCCGATATGGCAGATTTCGGCGGCTACTGAAGAGCCTGTCCAAAGATACGTTTCAAGGTACAGCCTTAAGTATGCAACTCTTCCTCCAGGTCCTTGGCTGCGTCACTTACAACCCTACCCCACGTCTGTAGAAAGTTTCCCAGCTGATCGTGTGAAACTGGAATCGAAATTCCAGGAACCTCGTACTCGGATTCTTAGAAGAATTACAAAATTTTTAATCGAAATTCCAGGAACCTCGTACTCGGATTCTTAGAAGAATTACAAAATTTTTAATCGAAATTCCAGGAACCTCGTACTCGGATTCTTAGAAGAATTACAAAATTTTTAATCGAAATTCCAGGAACCTCGTACTCGGATTCTTAGACAAAATTTTTTACTTTCATCTAGTATGAGATGAAAGACAAGGCACCTTTCATGTCTTTAGGATAGGATAGGAGTTAGCTCACCTGCGACAAGGTAAGCGTATAGGCATGACGCGGTAGAGCAGTTTCATTGTCTTTCTCCTGCAGTAGCAGTACTGCAGTTTCATTTTGTATCCTCGTAGCCTAGAAGTTCTTTTCCAGTTCGGGGGTGATAACTTACTTCGTACCTTAGCCTTACTTGTCTTCCAGTGTATAACTTATAATATACTTCGTACCTCATGCATTCTCCTGCTGCATTAAGAAGTAGGGGACCGACGACGTGAATTTGCGATTATAAGTCAATCCAGTTCTGTCAATCTTACAATCTTCAATCCAGTTCTGCCTACACAGGAGCCAGCGGGTATGTAAAGGACTTACGTGAATTAGCGAAAATCAAAATATATGAGCCGACTAGAGGTAATATAAAACATCTGAAGCTCCCATTCCATATTCTTTATCCTGTGAATACGCGTCGGCTAGCGTCTTTAACGAAAGGAGGTGAAACCAGATTCGCACGCCAGCTGAGTCTTTGGTTAGAGCTTCGGTAGAGCATCCTAATCAGGTGGCTTGGCTTCTTTTCCTGTAGTAGAAAACAAGCCAAGACTGACGTTGTTGAGAAGGTTCTTGAAATATAAAATCAAGAAGGGAACAAGTCTAAGGTTCACTACGTGGCAGCGTAGCATTTTTTACAATCGACATCAGTTTTATCTACTTTTCCTTTCTCCTCATCTTCTCTTTTACGAGGGAAGAACGAAACGATTGACGTTCACTTATACTTTAGTGCTGCTTTGAGCCTTAATTTAGAGGCGTCCTTGCTGGGATTGGGCATTCGAATGCGCTCCACGTTGAGAATCTGAATGTCCTCACGCTGCAAACGTCTTCGGAACCAACTCTGTGTCTCACCAGTGTACCTCAGTGTAATATCAAATATGAAGAGTCTTATTCTGACATAAACAGATGAGTCTACTACTCATCGTAGCAGTTGTCAACAACAACTTGGTTGTAAAAAGTGCCAGTTGTAGTATAAAAAAGAACGAGAACCATTACTAGCTAGCTCTAAGCACAAGAATACAGCTTATAAGTATAATACCATTCGCTTTCCAACACCTGCGTGCCTGATCCCACTGAACGGCATTTATGGCCTTGCTTGTAAGGTAGCACAGAGTAGGGCTCAAGGACAGCTCGTCTCAATACGGCCAACTCCAGTCGCTCGGTGAGGTGAAAACGGCGATGCCAGATAGCATCACGGAACTCGAATGCCATTGCAGCTACGTGCTTCTCATTAGCGCCTAGGGGAATTCACCTCTTGTATCCCCAGTCCTAAGCCAAATCCTTGTCCTAAGAAGGAAACTACAGACAGAAATCCCCTGTTTTTTTTTTTTATTTGATTCACCGTCCACAGCTTGACCTGCCTCCTCGGGTGGAAATGAACAGCTACTTTGAGCCTTAATCTTACCAGGCGTCGTCTGTGCTCCGGTGCTAGCAACCACCGCGATGTTGCGGACTGCGGACAAGGCAAACAAGTCCTCGTCGAGGTATGAAGAAGTAGTAGGGAAGAATGGAATTCATATCTATCTAAAAAGATACCATTATAAGCTCATATCTTTTCGGAACCACTCTACAAATTGTGGCGTTCTATAAAGCAATGCAAATGACTATGACATGTAAAGTACACTGTTGCAGAGGCAAGGCTATAATTATGTAACTATGATCTTCGGCGGTACTAGCGGGCCACTTAAGCTACGCCGAAGGCCGGCACTAATCGACGGCAATTCTAGTTGCATTTATACTTCATTTCGCTGCCTACATTTTCTTTTTGATGAATGAATATCCTTAGCCATCCAGGGAACAAGCAAGTGCAACCTCCTAAAAATTCATCTCGCGACTGCCTACGGAATTTACAATATCCGCCTCACAACATCACTAGAGTGCGACGATGTAAATCTACTCGGCAATCTGCTTAAGATTTCCCTGACGAGGAATAGAATATTAAATATTCACAAAATAAATATCCCCTTCACGATATAAAATTCACATAAGTCGATCATGCCAGATCCACGGCCAACTTGTGGAGCGTGGTCTAGTTCCAGACCCGCCTTTTTGCAGATATTACGCAGAGAATTTGGCGGTATATAGCAATCCTCACTCCCATCTGGCCGATCACCAGGAAAAACTGGCAGAAAAACCGCACTTCCTCCAGACTATCATTAGAGGATGATGATGATGATTGATGATTGATGATTGTACCTATAGATACTCGAGGTGTTGTTAGTTAAGAGGTCTGATAGATACTTTTCTAGCTGTGAACGCCCAAATGCAGTAAATCTGGCTGGTGAAAAGGAGCTTCTCGAGAAAGCTGCTTTAGCCTTCTCGAGAAAGTTCTTTTCCCCTTGCCACATGGCATGCCTTCCTCCAAAACTGCAAAGTCTCTCAAAACAGATGAAGAATAAAATCATCAAAAGCAGCACCCTTAACATGATCCTGCTTGGTCGAGATCTTCATTGTCCTGGTCTGCTGACTCTGATGCGTATGCAGGCTTGTAGTCGCCCTCATCGTCTCCGCCTTCCTGTGTTAGAGGTTTGCAAGACCTATTCATCAATATCAAAAATCGAAAAAACAACTAATGCAATCAATGAGGTTTTCGTATACTTCGACGACTTATTTCGATTTATTGTAGCCCTCAAGTAGTGCTAAGTCTTACGAACGTCGAGATAATCTTTTCAGAGCACGACTCGTTCCACCGGTTCTTCTGCATGAAAATAAGAACTCTTATGAGGAATATAACAATATAAAGTGGACTATAAGCTAAAAATGAAAGTTGAATCATCTTCTTCATGGAAAGCCGTAACTCCCCTTTTTCCTCGTCTGATTTCTTTCTACCCAGCCGCTGTCGTCTCGACATCTTCCTTACGGACGTCTTCTTTTGCTGCATTCTCACCTTTTTCTGCTTCATACGACGTTGCATACGACGTTGCAAACGGCGCTGCAGGAACGATCTAGATTCCTCTCCCTCGCCTTCGCCACCGTCCTCTCCCTCGCCTTCGCCTCCTTCCTTGGGATTAGAGAGTGATAGCTAGGTGCTGGCTTAGCATTAGTTATGGGCACGGTTTGCACGACAGATAACCAAAATTCCTATTGTTCTCTAGTAGAGAGTACTAAAAGTGGTCTTCGATGAAGACCTCAGAAGTGACATGTATTGCTTCGTCTAGATACTGGGGTATTGCACTCGGGGAAAAACGAGACTACTTCTAGACTTCAACATAGGGAACCGACAGAGTCTTAGATGATCTACTGAGGTAGCTAGTGTCTTTAACTTCCATCTCGAAGTGTAGATTTGTAGGTACTTCAAGGTAGTCCCAATGATATTCCTCCAAGTAGGTACTAACACCTCCAAGAAAGTATTTCTATTTTGTTTGGAGGGATAGACCGAGGACATGAGGGAAAAACTAGTAACCAAGGTAGTAACTGGCAAGCTTGAGATAAGAGCCGGGAAGGACGAGAATGAGTCTAGTACTGTTATTAGGGTTCCTTCTAGACTGCGTCTGCATAGGGGACTGAGTCTCGTAAATATCTGTACTGAAGTAGTTGTGTCTCTAACTTTCACCTCCAAAGTAAAACATGTATGTATTATTAGTACTTAGTTGCCAAAACCCCTAATCCCACGAATATTTGTAAGTACTCTCCCACATCTTCTTGATGTTGGTTCAAAACATGATAAACCACAACCATAGCTTCTTCAGCTTCCTCGTACCAGAATTCAGTCCACAGATCACCTCGCAGATCAGTGTGCAGCTGTTCCGATCGGCTCACGCCGCTATCCCGGCTATCGAGGTTGTCTGAGTTAGAGGGGGGCCCATTGTCGTGTTGACGCCGCTTCTTGTGGAGCTATTTCTGTCTACCTAGAGCGTCATCTCTCCATGGACGATGAGTGGACGTCAAATCTAATGTCCACCTCCGTCCACTATAGGATAGGATAGGAATATACACACCTCCGCCCACTCGTCGAGTGTGTGAAGATCATACTGATTATATTCATGTGGTGAATGTCATAACCATGACGCATTTCACGTAGCGTTGACCTTCGGCGCCGAAGGTTTCGATTAACGCCTTGTTCACAAACGGCACATTCTTCGGGATATCGAGTGCACGAAAGAAATGAATGGCGTTCTTTCCATCTAGGCAGACCATCGAGGCCCCTCGTCTTCTACTAAGATGTAGTACACTTTCAAGGGAAAAATGGGTGGCCTCGATCCTCTGACAGATGGAAAAAACATCATCCATAAAAGAAGGGAGGTAACGACAGCACAGGTTCATAACCCCCGCCTTTCTCTCCACCCTTATCGTCATCATCGTCCTTGGTTCGCACTTTCGGGAAACTGCTCGCGTCGTCGCCATCCTTCTTGTCGCTCGCGTTCATGAAAGAAGCAAATGCAACACTGCAATCTTTGAGAATCACAACTAAGGTCAATCAACATCAACGATCCATTCACTTTTTTCTTTAATTCTAGCTTCTTTGGAGGGATTAGAGTCGAAGGAAAAGCAACGGGTTAGTTTTCTTTGAGTGCGTCTCATTCACACTATAGCCTCTAGGACGATCATGTGGAAGATGCAAGACTACCGTTTCTCTTCGTAAAATCCGGTGTAGCTGTTACGGCGTTCCAATCAGTGTCGCCATCGTAGCCGAGGGCATCCTTGAATACTGCAGAGTCATAGGCTCCCGAATAAACTAGGGCATCTTAGAGAGGAAGAGGATCGCGATCTCTTTGCTAGGCTAGGTTACGCTAGGACCTACCGCATTCGCATATCGCGTGGAAGGACTAGATTGCGATAAACTAAGGACAACGATTTTTAGTCTCGTACTTATTATAATAACGCCTCCCAAAATTTAGGTAAGCCATCTTCAACTACGTACGCCTGATGTACTTATTACTGATATAATATATCAGGCGTACTTACGTGTCGGATATGTTCTATATCAGATCAGGGCTACTTAAACAAACTACCTTGTTCACCCTTTACTACGTTGAAGCTGTATTTTTATTTTAAGTTCAGTCTCTTGTATTTTAAGTTCAAGACGATAGTCATAACGCTGTGAATCATCGTCTTTCGATGGCACTGTGGAGAGCGTGAACATCATTTGCATGCTTTCTGCATCGCCAGTATAGACACTATCCACCGGACCCATCGGTACGGAGTACATCCGATAAGTCATTAGAAGAAATCAGGGAACAGTACATTCGATGTTTTTTTTGAAGAGTTCCAGCTCAGCCGCTTCAGCTAAGTCAATGATAAAATGTATGGCGGATTGAAATTGACTAGTACTCTACTAATCCACTGGCCGATGTTGACACTGACAAGGTGTTCCTTCGATCCAATGGAAAGAATGAAGTCTGTCATTGAGTCAAACGCTTTTCTGCATGATGTTGTTTTTAAAAAAGAAGTGCCAGTACCTCAACAAAGTAGCAAATACAACGGAAAATTTAAAGAAAAGTTTTGTCTTTGTGACTTGAGACATAACTTGACTTCGCCCTCTAAGGTAGCCTCCGATCCTTCCTCCTCCGCCTCCTTTTCTGGCCCATCATCCTCGCCGTCGCCGGCCTCATCATCGCCCGCCTCCTCAGCCGCAATATTAGAAACTCTATACCTACTTACAGACCACATCACATGCAGAGTATTGCGAGTTCTTTGTACTTAGTTAGATACTACTCGATCAACGAGGCTGCAACAAAAAAGATCTTTGCTGCAAGAGCAAAACTGTAGATGATAAAAGACATTCAGCAGATAGTGTTTGCATTCCTCATCCTCTCTTTCCAATTTCGACCATAACAGCTTGGCCACCTTTCGCCTTGTCATCCGATCTCCTGCGATGTTTTCTTCTCTTTCCGGTGAAGACCTTCTTGCGTGAGGTCCGGCGTCGGACTTTGCTCTGTCGCTGCGCTTGCCTGTGCAGTCTCTGCACACGTTGTGTAAAGCGCTTTCTCTCCTGCAGCGTCTGTCTGCGGTTCTCTTGAATCTGCATAAAGGACCCTTTTCTAGTCGGTTGGGTTAGAGTTTCAGCTCTTAAGCGGCCTCTCCGCATTAGCTTGAGTGCTCTTGCAGTACACACGACGGACAGTGTGCAAAGTTTCTATTCGAAAAACTGAAATAAGCTGAGATACTGAGAAGAAGGAAGCTAGTGCTAGCTCTCATATTTCAGTCACCAACTCGGTTTTATTTCAAGGTTTCTAAACATTCTGTAAGTAGCTCAGTGGTCACTTACGAAAGTCCAACAGCAACTAGTACTCGTCACCTCCTAAGTATCATGGATGTACAGTAGATTTGTATTTTCTTCTACCTCCCCTGCGTCGTAGGATCATCCTACAGCAACTAGTCTCAGACCTGGAACCCAAGAATCAAACTATTAGATAGGCTGCTTTCATAAATATATACCCCCGCCTTCACCGGTCACCGAGATACTCAGAGGCTTTTCGTCGTCACCCGTATTTGCTTTTGCGCCGGTAGTATGTGCCTCACTCAGAACGTCACGACCATCGTTGCTAAGGATTTCTGCGGGCGTAGCTCAATTATTAGAGCGCGCTTAGATCAATCACAGCTCACATTTCCTTGTAAGTAGATTCAAAGCTTACTCTAGTGTCTACCTCTATTTCGCTTCTATTACTGATGCAGATATGGCAAATCACTCACATGGTGCCTTTTGTCGAAGCCATATCACCTTCACCCTTTTCTTCATGTGTCTCCTCTAGGTGTTTTGCCTTCGGGTCATCTTCCTTCTGTTCCTCTTGTTTCGGTTTCCCAACCTCTTCCGGGTCGTCTTTCTTTTCCTCTGCTTTCGGCGGCTTCTCCTCCTTTTTTGATGTTTCCTTCTCCTCTGCTTTCGGCGACTCATTCGCCTTTTTTGATGTTCCCTTCTCCTCCTTCTCCTCCTTCGCTGTCTCTTCCCCCTCCGCTTCTTCGCTCCCTGCTTCGTCGATGTCATCTTCATCGTCCAAGAAGGTTTTCTTAGCCCAAGTGAATCACTATCCATGGTTGTTGAGTGGCAATCACTATCCGTGTTTCCATGGAGGTTGAGTGCCTCTTATTTCTGTGTTTCCATCAGTTTATTCTCCTTGACGTTTCACAAAATAAAGCATTCCCCTTGAAGACCTCTCAAAAAAGTCTACCGATGCTATCCCTTAGATTCCTCTTGTAGGGGAATTCAATCAGCACACAGACTTATTTAGTCCACACCATTACATGGTTAGGTTTCACACACCAGACACAGATAATGATTGACAGTAGACTGACAGGGAAAGTGATTGGAGACTGGCCGTAACTTTGGTGTACGGAGAGAAACTTTGAGAGTCCTTCAAAATGTCAGCGAAGGTCTGCTCCACACGGGGTAACAATCGCCATGCGCTATACCCGTGCGTCGAGAAGTTGGCAGTCAAAAAGTTTTAGAGGATGTAGGCAGTCGCCCACTACCTCCTACTTTTTGTTTTTAGTAAGCAACAACCTCCGACTACTTGTGTAGTACCTACTCTTTAGTAAGGGCAAAAAAAATAGTAGTCAATATCGATCGACGATGCAAATGTCCTCCGCCAAGGTACTGTGCTAATATAATAATGATGAAGGACGAGATGAAGTTAATTACAGATGAATTATCCCCTGCAACTGAGTCATCTCATGTCCTCATGGAACCTCTTTTATAGCTCAGAGTCAGGTTGTGCTAATGTGATTCATTGCAGTCATTGCAGTTACTGCTACACTGTTAGTTACTCTGTTAGTTACACTGTTAGTCAACACTATTTCTTAAAGCAGCGAGCAAGCGAGCGCTGTGTAGACCAGGCCTCGGTAGCTAAGCCGCTGCGATGTCCAAACCAAGTCGTAGTACCTTGTTTATAAAGGGCAAGAAGAACATCACGATTAGTAGGAATAAAAGTATTGGTAGTAGCAAAGAAGATGTTGTTTCTCTACGATTATCTACAT